TAGGATTCAAGGAAGCCAATCAGATCGCTAAGTGATCAGCCAATCAGAAGAGGACTTGCAAAAATTGTATTGCGACATCTGACAAAACCGCTAGCGTTTTTTTTGTGCTGGCCTAAGACGGCGGTTTCACTTCTAAGTTTCTTCCTGTGAAAAATAGTGGTCATTGGCTTGCACTTTTCAACAAAGGGCATTTTAATTCTGGATTCCTTTTTTTGTAAACTGCCGTCTGTTGGATAAATTTATTGCGGGAACTACAAAGGCAATTAGCGTGCACGGCTGTTATTCATCGCCAGTTCAACACCTCATGGGAATTGCGTACGTGTCGCCACTTGATTGGGCGAGCGCTGACCAGCCGAAAGAGAGTCTGTCGTGCTACCCACGCAACTGACTAACATGCTATCGGAATCAGCAACACGGCACTGCACTTTGTCCCTTTCTACTACACATTTAACAATCTTACACGGTAACATACGATTTAAGCTCTATCGATTTAAAATAAAGTACAATCAATTTTTAAAAATCCATAACTTGGTCCTGAAGCAGCAGCGTCGGGCTATTAATTAATGTATACCCCCGGGCATGTGACGCCGTCCAGCTAAGCGAGACCATTGTGCCAAGTGATTTGACACGGTAGATTTTGTCTACTTAAGGGTTGTCAGTATAATTTATTAAAATTGAGTCAAGCTGAAGTCTGCAGACATTGGCGTATAGACGTGCCAATTAGGTAGGCTTAGTTTAACTGGCCTGATCGTATCTTGATTTCTCACGAGCATCGTATTCGCACCTTAAATTGCTTTCGCACGAAACCTATTCGGTAATTGGTGTTTACACTGCGAAACCCGGAGTACAAAACGAGGGGAATTCTTCCGAATGTTCAATAGTGGAAGAGACATGACATGGCAACATCTACCACGATCCAATCTGTTGAAAGTTTTACGAGGTAAGGCGACATACCTGCCTGAAAATTAAGACTTCAGTAAGTATACGTGCGGACAATTGACTGCGTGACGCCTGAACCCCACATGGCGTTAAAATTTCACTCCATGACAATGGCGTGCTTTTGCGTCAAGTAATGTTTGCGTTGTTACACCAAAAGTACATTTACAATGTTGGTGGATGGTGAGGTTTTCTTTTAAAACAAATCTCTTTTCGTCTACGCCCCGCTTTGTGGGCTTTAAACTTTTTAAAAACAGCAATGGCTGCTCCATCGTTAAATCCATTCACATAAAAAAAGTCATTTGCTCAAATAGCAGAGTATCTTGTTGTGATATCAGTTCTATTATTCCCCTCTGTTCCGTTGTTTTACTGTTTGGCCACACCTGTTGCGCGCCACTTCTGAATTTGCAGTTCCAGTGATCGATTTTGTTGTTTAAGCACACACGTAATTGAAAAGGAACCCATCTCTTTATGTCGATTTGACAAACTTTTTACAAAAAAAAACTTAGAAAGTTACCTAGGGTGTCTGGAGACACTAAGAAAACGCAAATATAAGCGAGAGTTTATGTTGGGCACGAAGACGTCTTGTCGAGGGTTCTGTGAAGGTCAGGCGTCGCCAAGGTCAGGCGTAGTTTTTCAGCAAATCACCGACGTTGACGAGACGGGGAATGTTTTCCGACTAAAAAGCACAAATTTTTGCTAGCAAAAGTCAAATTTCCCTTTGCCAAACTCACTAAACCGAGTCACATCTGTGCAAAGTGGCACTGACCACGCTTCAGCCAAATAAATTACTCCAAAAATTCAGCGATTTGCCTTAGTCATGAGCAAATTTAGCGTGGATTCGCAAAATGTGCAGCTTGAAATTGTTTCGTCTGGCTAGAACTGAGCTTTTGTCGTGGTCTGACGAAATGCTCGTTATCAGATTATCAGTTAAGGTCTAGCAAAGTCCCGTCTAATGTTGTGTGCTGAGTTTGTCGGAAATATTCATTTGCTTATTGCTACAACTCATTTCGGCCTTAACTACAGGTGGATCATTGAATTACTTGTAGTTGTTTTGGAAATTGAATGGATTTTAGTCTAAACTCAAGACATCTACAATGTGTCATTAGTTGACTGCAATATTAATTAGTTTCTGCATTTTTCGCTTAACTCGACAACAACTATTGGCTCAGTCAAGGTCACCTATATCCTATGCATACTTTTGTACTCATTTTGACGAGTTACTTGGCCAAATTTGAAGGGAAATATAAAATGAAGAAAGAAATTTAAAGTTGCATATGCATTTGCCGACAGAAAGGGGTATTTTTTGTAAAAGTGATCGTAATGCCGGTTAGTCTGCAGAGGAGTTTGACGCGGGACTCGAACCCAGGTCGAGGTCATGTGGGAAGTGTTTGCGTCTTACACGAAAACCAGATACAGCGATCGTTTATTGGTCACATCTGGTCGTGAATATTTAAATGTATCGAGTGGGGTTGTAGACATGTGTGCAAGGTCATGCGGTTCAATTTAAACACTGAAAATAATTAAGAAATCACTGAGATATTGAGGTAAAGTCGTGGTTTCACAGGACTGCCAAATTTAGTAAATTTGGTGCGCCACCGAACGCGGTTGGCTGACTGGACAATAAGGTCCACCACAACATGAACGCGGTGTTATTACTAACCCAAACAAATTTTGTCCAACGAAATTCAAATGCCCACCATGAAACACTTGCCGTTTTGCCAATCGAGGCATCAAATTTAAGGCCTAGATGATATAGCCTAACTGCGCACACCGAATTAATTATGCAATTCTCTCAACCAGAGACCCAACATGTCGACAGTGGACGTCATGTTCTCTTCTCCACGATTTCGCGCATTTTTTGATGTCGCGTCTTGCCGACCACTTCAATGCAATTCCGCATTATGAATTTTGTCGTGCCAATTTGGCCGACGCCGTTACTTCTCGAGGCGGTAAGACACTTAGCTGAAATCACGTGACTGCTGGCGTGGCAATGTGCACTAGCCTGGCGGCAGTAGCCATTGTGCGCACAATGGTGACATGTCTTCAAACAAATTCGTCTTTCCTAGGCTAATCTCCATCATTTCAATACATTTTTACTGAAAAGAAATCATTGAAACTTCGTATAAATTAGCTGAGCTAAGGACTATCGATCCTTGTGGACCAGCGCTTAATTAGCAGTCAGTATCACACGTGGCATTTTACAACTAGGGCTTAGATAAATGCCGGTTTGAGGCGAAAGTGACGATTTTAAGTAAACACTTTAATTGCGACGACTAGCCACGCCAATTGTCACGTGATTTTCGCGAAGCGTCGCTCCAACGAGTCTCCACGACTACATAAGTCTACTCGGAAAATGCGTGACGAGATGTGACCTCATCGAATGCGTTTAATCACGGAGAGGACAGAATGAAATACGGTATCGAAAACTGAGCGTCTAATTATTGGTTTGGAGTGGTCCGCCCAACATGGACTTGGGGTGTTCGCTCTTAAGCCTCAAATCTGATGCCTCGATTGACGAAGCAGCCCCCTCTGAAATCCGTCAAGTTTTTCCACGTGTCACGTATTTCAGTGTTCAATCAAGATCGCTGTCACCAAACTTGTTAAATTTGGAAGCAGTGTGATACCACCTAGCATATACGGGATGTCCATGCTGAATGTTTGACAAACAACGACAAACAGATGTGAAATGTTATGCACCGATTATCCACATGATTAAAATGAGCAGTGAACGGTCTTGACACGTGGCAATCCTTACTGATGTGGCGATCCCTTCTGCTCTGGCAGATATTTTCCAAAAAATCAAAACCCTATACTGATTCGAGGCTCTACAGATGACGACAACCCGTTAGGACGGTAACCATTACGGCAACACGTAAACCGGTCATCCAAGTCAAAATTCATTAACTGATTAAGAGGGCACTTATGACGTTGATGACGTCACTTTCCAGTACCAAGCCGTTTTCGATTACGACGGACATCATCACCTGGACCACAACTGAGAAGTCAAAAAGTTTGTTGAATTCGGTTAATTCATAAGTGTGGTAATTGGTTGGCTGATAGAAATCGACTCTACATCGAAATACATGCTTGATTCAACACCTAAATCTACTCACGCGCATTTAACTCGCCGAAGAAATTCCTACTGCATTCCGTTGCCTATACGTAACAAGGTAGTACGGCATTGGTTAAGCCAAAACCACGGCCAAATCCCTTAAATGTCACACTAACACTAAATTACTCAACTGGAGTAACTTCACTAACTCAGGTAAGAAGTCGAGTCCTGATGAAGTAATCGATACGACCAGACAACAAGTACGCATTTGGCAAGCGTTAACAAGAATTTCAGCTCCGACTAATAACAACTGTGAATGAGAGCAATGTTCGCTTCGACTTTGGTACTTGAAGAAAAAAACAATTTAAATTGATAGAATAGACGTAAGAGTACTCATTTTAATCCTTATCAACAAGTCACTCCAACAAGCAGCTATCCAGGATTAGTAAACACAACCCCTGTAATATTGATCACGTGAGAGAACTGAAGACGTGGCACAATCACACCCTTTTCAGCTACAGCACTACATAACGAGGAAAAGAAATCTGTAAATAGTAATGGTGTTTTCGGACGAAAATAAGAGCAGAACAGAGCACAAATCCAATCTGAGTTATTACCTAGAACTAATCACAAAACAGGCGTTCGGTTGATAGCTGAGGATCGATTTTCATTGCCCTAGTCGCTGTTAAAATAAAACAGCCAGGACCGACACGCAAGCTAGTTATTTATTTTCATAATTGAATTTCACATAGTGGCCAAGCTAATCAGGCAGTAGCACATACGCAAAAATAGCTAAATGCAATTTACGGTCACCTCTTACAAGATGCCAATGTCAATGACAAAACTGGAAGTCTAAATTGAGAAGAAACCCAAATAAATCTTATTGATTACAGGGATCCGTAAAATTTAACGGAACATTGACGCCACCTGCGACCGTTACTTTAGGGAGGGAACATATACAGAACATTCGACAATAAGTATTATTTCCAAAATCAAAATACGGAGATGATTAGAAAGCCATTCGTATGTGTTGGATAATTTCGAAGATAGCTAGTCAGTAAAGTAATTAAGTATCCGAATTAGAAGTTACCGGAACCGCAAACAACAAACACAATAAGACCGAGAACCCATGCGTTCAAATTCGACTGATCATCGTTAGATTTCTAAAATTACCAGATTAAAAAGGAAATATGTAAGATTTACTAGGGACTTTGGCACATTACCACGGTTGGTAATATTGTTATGGGCCCTCTCATTTTGCACCTTCATTCGCTGTTTAGCACCCATTATCAACAAATTACACAACGGGCAAAAGGTAGATAACACCGCGCGTTGATATTACAAATTCTAACAACAATTAACACATGTTAACAATGCCAAAAGGAATTGCAGACAAAGTAAATTCGAAGATCGAATACGAATACCCTTACGCTATTTCAAGAGGCGATGGGTATTTACGGAAGCATACCATTTTGTTTGTACAAAAGCAAAATGCATTTTGCAATGTTAACATTTACATAAGACATTTGATTCAAGACCTGGTTTATTATGGCATCTAACTTATGAGTAAAAATGTTTTTTTTTATTTTTAGAATGTTCTTTCTATCAACTTAGAAGCATTTTTAGCCATCGGTTACTTCATATTGCTTGGTTGAACTCAAAATGAAATTCGGAAAAAATTAGCCTTAAGGTATAGGAGTAGCTCATAAATTGGAAAGGAAATCATCATGCTGAAATATCGGGCCAGACAACATAAAACAACGCAAATTATATGATTTTTATATGATTTTAAATTTTCTGATTCTAGTAGTGTGTAATTTGGTGTTCACAATTAAGGTGATTGAAATGACTGCGTGATTCTATAGTAAAGAAAAACGGACCTAATCATGGATAGAGAGCGAGCTTGGTCAGTCAACTACCTTGTGTGACGCTAAGTTTTTTTGACCTTAGCTACCCGAAATAAAAAAGAACGCAAGAGAATTTAATGGATCTCTGTTACTGAACGTGGAAGGTTCGAAGTGTCCTAGTCCTTGCAGCTCCCCAAACACCGGATACTGCCACCATACAGGAAAGTTAAATCGTCCTGGGAGCAAATTCGCATTTATTTCCAAATAGACTTCGAATATAGCATATAAAGTAACAAAGATTTTGAGCGCAAAAATACTGCAGTTAATTTAAACTTAATTCCAGATGTTTGGGGGCAAATTGCGTTCCAATATTGCTTCCCAAGCCGTTTTGCAAATTACTACTATAAGATTCCACATTAAATGATCTAAATATAACGTGTTTGATGCTCTTTTTTAACCTGCCGTGCTGTACCCGATTCTGCCCCAGATTTCAGGCATTTGACTTTGAAGTGAAAAAATTTATCCAAGTCCATACTGTAACCCATTAGTACTGCTTCATGGACACTACTTAAAAAGCAAGACCCGGCAAAAATTAATACGTCTCCAGCTAAAAAAATAGGTATTTCAGACTTTCTACTATTTTCAACATCATTCATTTTGATTAATACTGTCGTGAATCCTGCTTATTCAACCCCCTAATCCGGTCGCTCCACCTCCTACACAGGGTTCCCATTGTTGCAGCATGTCGCCAGCCGCTCAAATCCTCAACTCCCCCTTCATTAGCCCGAATATTTATCTTGGATTATCCTCACGCCGAGGTCTCGATGTTAGCACATGTATGACTCACACATCCAAGCTATAAATACACACGCGCAAGCACCGCACACGACACAACGATACCAAAGTGCTTGACCTCTGGAGCAAAAGCTTGTGTCCGTCCTCTCCGGCCTTTTTTTCATCGCGGGTATCAGGGGGACGTAATCGGGCCAGGGTTAATTCCGCGGCTCCGGCATGGTTCAAGAAAACATGCTGGGGCCCCCAATAATACTAAACCCGTTGTCGTGTTTGTTTTTACGGTTTTGAACCTTATGATAAAGCCGATTTTGGCAATATTTTTTTTAGCAAAATCCATTTTGTTTAAGATTGCGTTTTTTGCCTTGATTACATTGACTTAATCGAAGCTTTTTTTTTAAAATAAGACGTAGTTTACGAGTTTATCATGTGGAGGTCATTTAGAAATCGGTAAGAGGAATATGGCTTTTAAGTTGAAGAGTAATTGCCTCGCTTGTCTGTACAATATTGGGTATTTGTTCATACCTGTAAAAATCTGACAATGGCAAACAAAACCTGTCAAATTTAATGGTTAAATAAAGTCAAGACTTTTATCGTGGATCTTAATTATGTCAATTTGTGGCGCTCGTGGTTATTCCAACCAGGATTTTCCACTAACAATTACCTGTGCGCTTCTCAGTAGATTTGTCAAGAAGTCTCTAAAAAAAACAAATGGATTGGGATTTGCTGGCAATCAGTTACGCAATACTTGGCGTATAAATTGGTTTGCGGCATCATCATGCTTAAGTAAATTGCTCACAGAGAGAGAAAGACGTTGTCAGAAAGAACCCGCATTTTCCTTCTTCAGGATGAACTATTCGGGATGTACTCAAATTTGTTGCTTTCTTGTACATTTTAATGCTCTCCATGTACCATAGTCTAAGCATGAATAGTCCGGTTAGCAATCATTGAGGACTTTGTAATTTGTTCCAACGTAAACAAAGCATGCTTATTGCTATAACTTTAGAAGTCTATTCCCATTCAACCTTAATTTTTTGCATGTGAAATCGACAGGTACATGGTCATTGCTTACCGACTAATCAGTTATTGTGACGTATAAAGGAAGTTCGATTGTCTGATAGCCTAAACTTTAAGAGTGAATATCCATTATTAGAGACTGTGCATTTTGTTCAAGCAAAACCTGGGTCTTACGGAGCTTGATATGCATGGCGAATGTTTAAATTCAACCTTTCCCATTTGCTCTACCAGTCAGTTATTGTGACGTAAAAAGGAAGTTTGCTATAGACGTTCTTAAATGCATGTTTAAAATTGGAAATTAATGGCGTTTTATGAGGTATATCAAACAACAGATGACGAATAAATTATGATTTAATGGAGAAAATAGATAGGCAATAATCAACATGCAATTAAATGCCTCCATTCGCCTTAAATATATGTGATCGCTTGAAATGTTCTTTAGAATTGATGAAAATGGTGTTTAGGGAGCATACACTGAAATAAATAAAATTAGATCCTTAAATGTAGACTTTAGATCATACTTCATTACAACCCTCTTAAGAAATAGCCAGTCTCTACTAGGCACATATGAAAAGTGACTTATAAAAGATAGAAAAGTCAGCGATAATTTGTAGCATAGCAGCAAGATTTGTGCACGTCCACAGAAAAATAATAATTTTTATGCATTTGATTACTTTGTGTCAACATCAAATCCGTAGTCATTCAACGTGCCACGAGAAATTGTGATACTCCCACGGTTACTCATGTTTTCAGGATGGGCCAAGACCGTCATTATAAAAGGTGACTGAAATAGGCCGCTCAAATATCTCATAACCCCTGTTGATGAACCACGTCTAAGGTTGCAAATAATTTTTTTTAAACATCCATAAATTGCTATCTAGTATGGATAGGATTTCCGGTCATAGTGGAGATCAGTTTTTCAGACGAACGTTCGATAAAAAAGGAAAATTCATAAGGTTTACCCTAAGCTGCACGATGAGGCAATAAATTTGCCAAATGTAGTTACTAATTCCTAAATAGGCATAATGTTTTTAATTTCAGGACAAAAAATTCAGGCGATGTATTTATTAACACCAGCCTAAAAAATTGAGTGAATCAATTTGTAATGGAACATGAATGAAGAAAAACCCGAAGGGTTTGTATGGGTGTAATAAAAAACTATCATCGGTTAACATTGCGCACACATTAGAAATTTCGATGAAAAGTATTGACAACCACGGCTTGCAGTGGGCCAATTATGCGTTTTTTTGCATCGTGAACTAGAACACTCAAGCAAAAAGTTAAGCAGGTACATGCTGTCCTTTTCGATTACATAAAAATCACATCTTAGGCGTGCAGATGGTAAATTTGAGTTCCCTTGTGTTAACAGTGTGGAAGATTTTAGGACGAAAATTTTATTATATAATTTTTTGCTTTTTACTCAGAGCTGCAATAGTGTTATTCTAACAAATTTGAAAAAACCATATTGTCAACATTTATAAAAAAAACCAACCTAGATAATGCGCAGTGTATGTACACGACTAGAATGTTGGGTAATTAAGAAATCCATAATTCATCACAGTCGCGCCTTGGAAATTAAGAAATTGGAAGTACGGAGTAGACACTCAGAGATTACAGGTAAAAATGCAGTTGTAGCCTACTAAATTTAAACAGTTGCCTAGGAAACATTCATCGGAATTCAGTCTATACTTTATAAAAAAATAAATACGAAAGAGCCATGTAATATAATTAATAAATAGCCGATATAATTGCTCTAGTTTTTGTTTTTGCATATGACCAATTTGTCGTTTGTTAACAAAAAGACAAGATTAATCTGAGGTTACTCGATGAGTTGTCTGAAATTATTTGAAATAAACCTACGAATGTTTTGTGAAGCCCGCTAATGAGGAGGCCGTATAAACAACTATATATCAATGACTAATGGGCAACCTTAAAAATTTGAGCCTTTTTAACTTCAGTGAAGTTTGACCATTTGTTTCTGTAAGCTTTGACAGCATCTCTACTAGACTATCTGTGGGAATTAATTTTATTTTCTTTACCCAAATGACATTTTTATTGCAAGAATTTTACTGTCAATTAAACCAAGATTTGCCTTTAAAAATATAAATATATAAACTTTTAATTTCTTCTGGGCTTTTCATTTAACGCTTCAATTTTGTATTATATTAGGTGTTAGTGCCGAATGTTCGGGTTTTGTGTTGGTCACTTTAAAAACCCTCCAGCGGGCTTTTTCAACTGTCGTCATTTGGGACTTTTGGTCCTCGTTAACGGTCATCGAATATTTTGACTTGAAAGACTAAGACATGGATTTTCAGCACCGTGTTGGTGGCAAAACTGGGTCGGGTGGTGTAGCTTCGGAGTCGGAAGCTAATCGGGATAGGCGTGAACGCCTTCGACAACTGGCATTGGATACAATCGATCTGGAAAAAGATCCATACTTTATGAAAAATCATTTGGGTACATATGAATGCAAGCTTTGTTTGACTCTTCACAATAATGAGGGCAGTTATCTTGCCCACACCCAAGGTATGAAGGCTTTTCAATAATAAATTCTTAAATGTGTTGTCATTATTTATCTTTGTTATGTTGTCGAATGTTTCTCTATGGTTTAATTTACATCTTTTTATGTGTGGTTGGTTGTGTCATTGATGACTTGAATTTTTAATTAAGCCGTTGATGATTTTAGGGAAAAAACACCAGTATAACCTTCAACGGCGTGCCCATGAGCAAGCCAAAGAGGGTCCTGCCACACTTCAGCCGGAAAAGGCCCGGGTAGAACCGAAGAAATTTATAAAGATTGGTCGTCCAGGTTACAAAGTGAGCTTGTTTTTTGGAGTTCACGTAATTTGTCGACAATTTTTACGAGTTGTCGTGTCTGTTTACACTTGAAGCAAATCCCTGTAACACATGTGTTGACAGCTTTCGTGGATTCTCGTTGCCAGCTGTTAACTTATCGTATTTAACAATTAAATTTTAACTGCTAGGTTACAAAGCAGAAGGACCCTGACACAGGTCAGCAGTCCATGTTGTTTCAAATCGACTATCCGGAGATCGCTGATGCCGCTGGGGTGATTCCGCGTCATCGATTCATGTCAGCCTACGAGCAGCGCGTCGAACCACCCGATAGAAAGTGGCAGTACCTTCTCTTTGCTGCTGAGCCCTACGAAACGATAGCTTTTAAAGTACGCAGTCGAGAAGTGGACAAGGATCCTAAAAAATTGTGGACATTCTGGAACTCGGCATCCAAACAGTTTTTCCTCCAAGTGAGTCCTGATTTTTTGCACTTTCAACTATTCTACGTTACTTGGTCATGTGATGCTGAGATTTGAATCAGCAAACCCTCTGAATTTTAACTCTTTATGACTTTTTGGTGCTATCTTTTGACATTATTCCTAAATATCCGGCCTCTCCGCAAACATCCTTCAAACACAGACTAAGTCTTCGGCTTGGTTTACGGTTCCTACCATTTATCCATTCCGCATTGCACACTGGTGGGTCGACTTAATTTCCTCCTGGTTGATATCAACAATAAATTGCGTCGGCAACCGTCACCTTGTCGCCAAATGATCTACTCGTGCTAGGTTACTTGAGCTGGTTTCTTATTCTTCACTACCTTTGAATTAATCGGGGTAGAATTAGAAATTGCGCCATTGTTCGCTACTCGTTTTAGTTTGCCTACAAACTGGAGAATCAGTCGGGTTCGTCTGCAATGATGCGCGAATTAGAAATGCAGAAGGCTCGAGCCCAACAGGCCCAACTGCAGCTTCAATTGCCACCGCCGCCGCCTCCTCCACCTCCACCCATTCATATGAATGCTTCGGCGTTTGGTGGGGCACATTACGGAATGCCTCAGCCGCCACCGCCACCCCCAGTCGGTGGCATGATGGCCCCGCCCCCACCTCCACCACCTCCGATCAGCAATGCAGGAAATCAGCCGCCTCCGCCGCCACCACCACCACTTCTGTCCGCCCCTCCTCCTCCCCCGCCGCCGCCACCCCCACCGCCACCACCGGCTTCTCACTAAACCGTCTTCGTGGTTTGGTTTTATAAAGACCTTTGTGTTATTGGCGTTCATAAAGCAAGCAAGACCATCGGTCTTTTGTATTGGTAGTTTTAATGGTTTTGGTGCGTGGGTTCGTCCTCGCGTGGAATTTTTGTGGTGAATTTTGTAGCACCACAACGTTAAAATATCTGAAGCTAACGAGCTTCTTCAACAGGTACATCATTCATGTAGAAAGTTGTGTTACCTCGGTGATTAATTTATGTGGTCCTTGTGCACATGCAACTGGTGGCGAGATCTAAACCCCAAACGTGGAAGTCAGATGAGTGTAGTGCCCTGCTTTCGATCTACTTACGTGACAGTCCGTCAGTTAGGTGTGATTGCGGTGTGAACCTCGGGTGTAGTGAAGTCCCACATTGTTAAGAATGAATTGAGCATGTTAATTCGCCTCATTTTCACAACGGCCCCTCTCATGATATTTTGTTACCCTGTACCCTTACTTACTTCCCTGTTTTGACTTGTTAAGGAAACAGTGAAACCAACTAACGTTGCGCATTCTCATTTGCAATGTGAGATTTGATTGGTAGTTTTCGTGCCTTGCCCTGTCTACGTAAAGTCACCATAATAGCTGAATCCTGCCATGGGTAAATAAAGCATTAAGACATCTGGAGGTGACTTTGCCGCACTAATTCTGGTCAGACCTTCTTGAAGGCTTCCAAACACCAAGATTCATTGAAGCCCACGTCACAAAACGAATCTATAGTGTCTAAAAAGCTCTCTTTACAAAAAAATTACGACCAACAAAATACAAGGCATCTAGGACGGCAGTCGACTGTCTTCCACGACTCGGGAACTAGGATAGTAAACCTTAAACGTGTATTCCGTGGTTCCTGCTCCGGCTGTGCTCACAGTCCCAAACCGGCCGGGATTGGTGAATTGACAGCCGCCAAAAGGGTCCGGCGACTTGTCGTCGCTGCTTGGCGGTGCGCTGGCGGCGTTTAGGTCAGCGATCGCGTTCGGTTCCACGGCCACAACGAGGTCGGGAAGCGGGTTCAAGGAGAGGCTCTGGTCGTAGGCCCAGTACACGGGACTGGAGTGCAGCGGCAGGGGTGTCAGATGCGCTTGGCTGGTCAAACAACGCGCGAGGCCAAGTCCAAGCTTGGCAGCAGACGATTGGTTGGCTTCGGAGTCCTCACATTGGCTCTGCGAATCCACGGGTGTCGACTACAGAAGGAAGGCATTGACGAGCACATTGTCACAGTCACTCATTTGCTCTCCCGTCTGTATGCTTTCAAAAAACTGGTATTTGCAATGAACACATTCATCGAGGATAGCCCAGTGGATTCCGGCTTAACTCGCGAACGGAATAAGAAAGGGAGTAGGGACCTTGGAGCCTAGCTCTATAAAGTCGTGGCCAGTAAACAAAATCGTCCAAGAATGAAACACCGACCTCCGGTTGCGAGTCAAGCGAGCCGATATCAGCGCCGGTTGGACCGGTGACTGTGGTGCTGGGGAGATGGACGCAGTGACGGAGTAGTTGGCCATAGTCGTACCGGAAGACGACAATCTCCCGCGTGAACAGGCGCAAACGAATCGGATTCGAGGCTAGATGGAGCCAGGCGGGGAGTTTCGATCGATCGGCAGCTTGGAAGAGGTCCGGTGCAAGGGAGGGGCGAGGGTAGATCCCAGGCGGGCCGAGACAGAGATCGGAGGGGCCTGGGACAAGCACGAGGGTGGGTTGCCGCGAGCCACGCGACTCCGCGTCGCCGTAGGCCCGCAGGAACGCATCGGTGAGTCGACCGAAAAGCTGCCGCAACAGAGCACGCTGAAATCGTAGGTAGTAGTAGTAGTGGAGTCAAACCGAACTACCGAGCTAACGTGCGGCAAGTGCAAACCGAGGCAACAGGGCAACCAACCTTATCGGAGGGGTAAGTTCCGTAATCCGGACTGATGAAATTGCCACAGAGGACGAACGCAGCCGGAGGGAACTCGGTGTAGCCCATGAAGACAGTCTCGAGGTGGTCTAGACACCCATGGACGTCCAGCCGCGTTTCTCCCAGCAGGACAATCATTGAATCCTGCAGACGCAGATGACAGGATAAACGCACAACACGACGACGTGGATAAGTACGAACGGCTAACACAACCTACTTGAGCAGAATTGAGCAGTCGGATCATTCGCTGATCATTGGAAGCGGCTGGAGCATCCAAACTAGCTCCACCGAAGGGATTGGAGACGCTGAAATAACGTCGGGTGTCGACGGCACGCTCTACCGGCGGCAGACCGATGCCAGTGGCGTGGAAGACCTCGTCGTCGTACCAACCCTCAGCTAGAACAACTGAGCCTTCGGAGAAAACGCCCTTTTTGGAAGAAACGGTTAAAACCAAACGACTGAGATATAAAAAGAAGTCACGAGAACCGATGTTAGCGTTTGTGTGTGTGTGTAAGGCCTTGGACAAGGCTCAGCCTTAACCCGCAACACCAAAGGAAGTACCTGGTGAAACCGCGTTTGCGAGAGATCGAGTTTGACCAAATTCGACGGGTCTTCAAGATACCATTGGGCGTTTTTAAGCTGGGTCAAGACGCCCAAGACAATAACACTGGTTTCTTTGGCGCCCATCGAGAGCAGGAACTCAACCGGACGCAGCTTGAAGCCTTTGCCGTCCGACGCGAAAAGAGGATTTCGGGTGACGTGCTGGAAGACCACCTGTGGGGAAGAATGGAGTTGGTTGGAAGCTATCCACAATCGCAACACGAGTTTTGAATGAATTCACAGGAGCGTGGTGGGGCATTAAGAAACATCCCCAGGAACACCAGACACTGAAGCTTTCTAGTCGCCCATCAAGTATCGGGAGGGCGTCAAAATGGTGCATCTTCTGGGGTATCGATGTTGCTTCGGATAAACTGCTTACACAAACGGAGACAAGAATGCGGTGTTCCATGAAAAGGGATAAATGCGCCAAAGAGACCGATTGCACGTTTTTGTTTGGTTAATCGCCGAAGAGGCCATTCAATGAAACAACAGCACGGCCACCAGCACAATTCGTTGATTGGACAATGGCACAGGGCCAATGGGAACTCTCTACCATCACCATTGGACGAGATATTTACGCAGCACGAACAACGCATTGTACAAGCGAGCTTAAAATGCACAAAGCAGAGAAACATTTCGACCTAAATCAAGAAACAACACTTGTGATTAACTACGGCGACTTTACTTAAATCGGGGATTCAAAAAAATGATTCTATGTGCAATCCTTCCCGAAATTGAAGTTGACGAGACGCCACTAGAAGAAATTATCTGGGAGTTTATTGCCCATTGCCAATCTAGAATGGAAGTTAATAAGCTCTAGAGCAAAAATGAACGTGTATTCAAGGTGTTATCGCTGGAATGCGCCACACACACACACACACACACACACACACATGGCAACCTTGGGAATCCCACTTAAGCGTTCTCGATTCAGAGTCACGCAGTCAAATTCGTTGAAAACGGCCACATGTAGAGGGAGGATGATAGTTTTACCACATAAATCAATACGGGTTTTACACATCTGCCGATTATAATCTCTTGCCAGCACAGCTGTGTGCCACTGCATTGAGTCCAAATCACAAAACCATGATAGGGAATGCACACATGGTAATAACAACGGGGAAACACGTTTGGTGGCAATGTTGGCAAACAATTCTAACCTTAGAACAACTGTTGGGGTGTCCCCATATAAAGATTTTGATTCATTCGACCTGGAAAGTCTTTTTCAGAGAGTATTAAGTACGACCAGAGGTGCGTTTCAAGGAAATGTTTAAAAAACGGGATGAAGAAAGAAAGGAAGGTTACTAGTTTATAGATTTTAGGGGTCACAATGAGTGGAGAACTACCTCGTATCGATTGGCACAAACAAATGACCTTATCGAAGGAGAGGAAGGGAGGAGACTGTTTACATCCTCTTCAAGTGAAGGCCGAAAGGGTACAAACTTCTTTGTGTTCTGACAGTACTTGAAACGAGGAATCTGAAAGACGCTTGAACGTTAGCATTTCAATAAAGATGAACCTAAGGAAACGAAATACCCGACAGCATCAACTAACTATAAGCACCAACAAGTTGGTACAAATCAAGCAGATTTGCCTTTTACAAAAACGATGGGCCAATAACAAAGAAATTGGAAGGCTGTCTTGAGTGCGGTACTGTGGCAATGAAACCACAACACTTTAAATCAAACGGGCAGAAGTAATTATATGAGTAATGATGACCATACGAATCTTTGATAAAATGAAGCAAGACGACCTTACGCAATGCAACGTCCCCTATGATAACTACGTCTGGTCACAAACAAGCTGCAACTTAGAAGCTAAAATAATAAAAAGATAAAAGCCATGTCAATGAAACGTACATCGAGTGCGTCGATAAGACACATAAATGTTTCTGACGAACTCGACTCCGATTCAAATTCTGAAAGAATCTTTTCGCAAATTTGCTTCGAGACGCGATTCCCCTCCAAACCGGGGTTGGCGAGGATATTACTAACAAAGCGTTTAATCTCTTCATCCGTCTTCGGTTTGAAATTTGAGAAGAGGTAAGCGGATGCATCTGGAGCCAAGACGAGGCCACTCAACTTCAGGAATTTTTTTATGTCCTTTTAAAAATATTAACAATCAGTTAGAAGTGGGAAAAAGATCCGCTCACCATAAGTTAGGATTTAAATAGTTAAGATTTAAAGAGCAAGGGTATGGACAGGCTTACAGCCCAATATTTTTCCAAGAAACAAAAGTAGGCACAAATAAACAAATATGGTTTTCCCAAAAGTAATAACATATAATCAAGACACTTAGCTCGAATTCTAAATGTGCAAGCCAATTTTAGAAAAAGAAACCGCAAACTTCGGCTGTTTGATTGCGAAAGTTCAACAGGTCGGACGAGTTTGCCTGAGGTATATTTATTTCAGTGATAAACGCATCACAAAAACGAAATTTCATAACTAAAAGCAAGATTTTACACGAATGACGGAAATAAAAAAGGCAAATCATCACAGAAATTCAAAATAGACATCAATAAGTTGTGTTTCCAATCCAAAAGACGATTAAAAAATATAGTAGTCTGAGTTATTTGAGAACAAGAAAAATGCAAATCTACATACACTAAGTTGTTCTAGACGAGCATAAGAAAATAAGATAAACCAAAGTGCAAGTAAAGTTTAAAAAAAGAGGGTCAGTCAAAGAGAAACCGTACTACAGTATTCCACAATTTTCCGTCACAATCAAACCTTGAACCTTAAAATATTAGTAACAAGTTGATTCAAACTACCACATATAAAAAACGAACACGTCAATAATTTGCATCTTGTAAAAACGAAAAAAATCCCAAAACGGCAAACAAAGATAAAAACCACAGATCTTACAAATGAACAACACTTAGTGTGAAATTGACCTTAAACATCAATATGAAAGCACACTCGAAACGGTAGAATTTTAAGGACACAAAAAGCAAGAATCTGTCAATTTCAGAGGCTTAATTTTCCGGACTAGCATTCCACACATTAAAACAAACAGTTATGCCAGTTTACCACAACGAAAATAAAGTAGTTAATTTCATTTGTTCTCAAAAGGCATGTCAGGGCTTATTTGTTTGCTTTATGTGCTAACATTAAGGGGGACTTTATAGTGCCTACAAATATCATAGTAACTCTCAACACCAGAACTGAAACAGTTGATTTTAATGGACTAGGGACTAATTTTTTTTAATTTCTTTGTGCTGCATATAGACCTAAGCAGGGGAGTGAAATTATTTTTACCGTAAGCAGATTCTTAGTTGCTTTGAACTCTCTAGCAGAATCTGCAAGTTTTATCAAAATTGCGTTTTGCCGTAAATTTGTATCCTATGATTGGAAACAATACATCGGCAAACATACAGTAGAAGACGATTTTAAAAAGCAAAAGTGTGTATCTAAATTAATTATAGAGATAAGGGCAAGTGGCTCAGCAGCCAGTTGACAGCACTCAAGAAACTTTGCAACTACCAAACATTTGCTGAAAGAAGATCAAAAATTGAGTTTAATAATCACATTTAATTTTACACTAATCTATGTTTCGGTGCAATTATTGCATGTCATTGACTGCTCAGAAAATCTCAATGTTTTAGTTAAGGATAGTTTTTTATTCTAACTTCACAAATTCCTGTTAGCATTCGTTGATATGAGCGGATACCAGATAATTTTTTCCCCTGTTGCAATTTTAAATTTGGCACCCTTTAAATGTTTTTTAATCTGGGTTAGTCACATAATTGACTTTTTTGGTGAGGCATCGTAGTGCTTTAAAAACTGTATTAGGGGATCCGATATACTTTTTTACCGAAGAGTACGATTTGTCAACTTTGAGATTATCGATATATTAGTAAAAAGAAGATGGCCATCCGCTTTACTGTCAGATGACATTAAATAATGCAAAGAAAAATTTTTGCTCATTAACTTGAACTAAAACTTGATTGTTCAGAAGAAACCTTGAAAAGCAACGTTATTCTACATTGAGAACAATCTTTTAAAATCTTACATTAAGTCAGGGTTATTATCGAATGTATAACCAATTACCCTACTATAAGTTGGCAGTATTATATATTCCACATCAGCCTTGATTGTTACATTAAATGACCTTGAGTGCCTACTTGTGCAGGCCTTTGAACTTATTAATCATTGAGTGTGTTTTTTGATACATTGCAGGCGTTTCGTGTATACTTTGTTGCAATTCGCAAAATGACCACACTTCTGTTTTACCTGGCAGTTCTCCTTCTATTTTTATTAATATGCACTATTTTACTGCTGGTTTATGTATCGGGAGTTTTTCATTCAGTAGAAACATGCCTCTCAGAAGACATTCCTTTTCTGAAAAAGGGTGCGACATTTTACTACAAAATTAATAGAGGCTCGTATGGTTCTCTTGGTAGTTTTTTCACGGAGGCCTATTCTGTCGCACCCAAAGTTACACAGTGTGCAGTTTATTACGATGATCCTGCTAAAGTATGAACAATTTTTAATAATTTTAAATCTAGGTTATCGAAAATGATTGCAGATCTGCCATAGGTGTTCTCTTAAATGACGAAATGCTCTACAAGGCACCGGACCTCGAGAAAAATGGGTTTAAGAAATTTCAATTCCCACCCATAAAGCAGGCCTTGTATTCAAAATTTCCACATACCTCATTCCTTTCAATTTTTCTTGGTTTCAATAAGTTTCTTCCTATCCTGCGTAGAAAACTCATGGTAAATGTATTAATCTCTTAACATTTTCGTAGGAATTGGGGTGTACGCATTTCACATTCATTGAAGTGTATGACGAGGATACGATTCATTATATTGGTATCACCGATGACATCTCTGAGTTTACTGTTACGGACTTCAGGACTAACAAATTAGACGAAAATGAACTCATTGCTTCTGTTGATGGAAAAGAAAAATCCGAATAGAATTTGGTGTATTTTGCTGCTACTTCTTATAAATGTTCGCTGTTCCCGCAACTTATCTGTGATGTTCTATTCACTGTTTGTTTATTCGCAGTTTGTGATCATTTTGAACCACCACAAACAGACCTATTTTACCTCTAACGCCAAACCTTTTGACTGATGGGGATTAGTGTTGTGTTTAGTGTATTTGTCTTGAGTAATTATTTACCATGTATGTGAACCTACGCTGGCCCCACATCCTACAATTTTGACGTCTTTCTCAATCATCTGTTTCCACGTTCGCCTCGTTTACACATTGTCGGTTGTCATTAAAAATTCGTGTCTCCTCGAAGAATGTAGCTCCTCATTCTCAAATCAAAGAATTCTGGTGAAACTTCGAAGACAAATCGGTTCTAAGTCGCGGTCGCCGCTTCCTATCTATTCCACAAACATCTGTGTTTGTATATTATGGTTATTCGATATCGTTATTGACAGAAATAAAGTGTCAGCCTCATAAAAAAGCATTCTTTCTCTTGAAGATTTGTCAGGAGAGCTTTGTAACTCCCTTGATATTTTATGCACTATCGAAACGCGCTTAACCTCATCAGGTCATCCTTCGTCCCACAAGATCCGGACAAACATGTATTAACTCATAAACTACTTATGTGGCACATTGCAAAAAGTCGCTATAGACTTTTAGTTTGTGCAAAACTAACTCCTCATTGCGAAAATTAGACAGTTTCTGCCATGTTCATATTGTTTAATTGGCGATGTTTTAATGTCCTTCAAGTCATATGTCAATCAACTCCCTAGTGTAATGGAAATTCATTAACGTAGCACCAAAATTACCTAGTTAAGCTCGAGTACTGAGTTGATTAAACGGTTTGGAAGTTTATGGAATGCCTTCCAGAAAAATAATTCGGGAAATTTCAAGACGATAAAAATCGCTTCCCAGAGGGATTTATATTTTTGGACGAACATGCAGAACATCTGATTTTATGATGAATGCGCCATTTCGATAGTCGAATTCTGTCTAAACACCATACGTCAGTTGATAAACGCTAGTTCTGATTCGACGATGGATTTAATCAAATTAGACTGTCTTCTCACTATGTGTGTTCTTTATTTCGCATCGATATTGTTAAGATAGTACATTGTTTATGGTGCTGAAAAGTGGTGACAACTATCGAAATAGCGTGCTTTTAATGTGTAGCTTGTTCACTGTCTGATGAACTGTTACTTTTACACCCTTAACGCACAATCGGTGAATCCGCTGTCTAACACAAGCCCAGCCTTGCCCTCTACAGAACAAAGACAAGACCACGTACGGAGAACTTTACTGTTTTCACCAAATGCCAAATGACTTATCGGATCGGGCAGCTTCAGCACGTTTTGTGTGACCTTGGCCTGACGAATCAGCTCGTACCCCAGCTATTGCCATGATATGGGAAGAAAGAGTGGTTATAACAGATAGCAATTTAGATTTCGCGATGATAACTGTCCTGGGGAATGATAACATTCACAACATCAATGGATGGTGTTAAATATCGACGCAGTGATATGCAGTGCAATTAACTTTGCAGATAGCATGAGTTCCAGCCACTTCCCAGATTTACTATACTTCTGGAAGTCAAATCGTTTGTGTGTAAATTGAGGTATTTTGCAGAACATCCGAGAGGCACAAGGTTTTACCCACTACGTACCTCTTAGAGAAATTTTTGTACGAAATCATTTACACAAGTTGGAATAAACAAACTACGCGTTCTGGCCGGTGTAGTGCCGATACAGTGTTGTGGAATGCCTGAACCTCCATGAGTTACTACGTTACAAGGTCATAAGTGCAGAATAACCGAGCCCTAGTGTGAAGCAGACCGGTCCAATTGAACAGGCTTCATTGACCAATCACAAGCCGCTCATGTTGTGCTGATTCTCATACGTGTCTGTCTCTGTTTGACTGCATAGCGACATCACATGCTATTCCAAGGCAAGGAGACAGAGGATTGGCGAAGGCTGGGGTAGTGCAATATGTCTGCGTCCTTATACGTCGATACGCAAGCAATCGTGGATATAGGTGCTGAAATCTAGGACTAACGAAATCTTTAGTAGCGTTTATCCTGAACATTAGGTAAACAGTGAATGCACGCAACAAATCCAGACGCTTTTCACTATTTGGTGTCTCGAATAATGTGCCAACAACACTAGTGTAATATAAGAAGGGGCTGTATGAAAATAACATGGCGAATGTTCCACCGCTTTGCGTGTTCTGCATTGGTGGCAGCGCGTGCGTTCGAATAACGCGAATCGAACCCCAGTCCTTTCCCTACCATGGACACCAGGGGCAAATACATCTATATACCGGCTAAAGTTGCATTGGCATTCCATCAGACGTTCAAATCTCTGGATCCATATACACTTTATGGTATTTTAAAAGCACTTTGTGGTATTTTAAAGCGTCAGAATGTCAGCGGTGGATTGTGGGATTCTGGATGTCAACAAGAGCAAAATTAATCCGTCTATTGGTCGCCTGGGCCCCTTTCTTGCTAAGTGTTTGGTATGGGGGAATGTCGAAAGGGATATTTCGGCAATCATTATGACAGTTAAACAATCAAGTCAGAAGTTAATGGTAACTTTCTACTGAAGGGGATGCAGTGTAATGCCGCAATAGGGCATAAACATATTTGACCACGCGGAGGTCAGCAAACTCTCTCTCCTCGGGCGTTTGATTGGCGTGCGAAGAAAACCTGCAGCCAATCCGATGAGAAGCCCTATCGTGGCGACGTATGGGGGCGCAGACATACTGGATCATGTTGGCCTCAGCCAATCTTCTGTCTCTCTGCATTCCAATAGCATGCTAGGTAGATATGCAGCCAACCAACCGAATAAGGAGTAGTATATAATGAATGAACTCGGATTGACGGCACCTGAAATGTGGTTCTGGCTTGTGATTGGCTTATAAAGCCAGTTCAGTTTAAACAGTCTTCTTCCTTTTAGGGATAGGGTATTCTACATTAATATAATGGCCGGCTCAGTCAGAATGGAGGAATCGACCTTGCGGAACCTGACAGGTCCATTTGTCGTGTTGTTAATTAATGTAGTCCACTGTACCAGTCTTTTTCAAAGGTGGGTTTGGGTAATCTACACTCGTTTCCCAACTGTATTTAGCCTCTCAATGTTCACAAATCAAGTCCACTGGTTTTAAAGTAAAAGTCTGCAACAAATATGATTTGTTAAATTGTTTTAATGAATCCATGGACAGTTCAGTGAAGAGAAACTCTCTACTAACCCAGAAAATATGAAATCTGATTGACATGAATTTCAACTTTTTCCCATGAAATAAATTCTTTGGAAATCAGATTACAATCCCCGACTCTCAGTTATGCTAAATGTGGGCGAAAAAAATACAATTACACATGCGAATTGAAAATTCTCTCATTTTAGTAATAAATTTAAGCCAATTAAATCATAAATTGTTTTAATCGTGGTTGTTTATAATATAATTAATTTTTGTATAGGAAAACTGAATTTTGCAAGAAATTCCGTTAAGAACGTGAGAAGCATTCGAGACCCAATATGGACCACAATACGTCCAACATCTAATTGGCACATGGACATAGCCCCTTAAAAAAATTATGTGTTTAGTTATTTATAAATGTAAGATAAAGCAAATAAATTGTCTAATTAAAGGCAAAGTTAATTTCAGGTTTTTTTAGTAACCAGAGGAGGTACAAAAGCTTATTCTAGAAATAATTAATGTAGCGAACCGGCCAATGGTTGTAACAGAGGAAGATAAAGTAAAAAGGCCATGATTTTGCATTAATCAAGTAGCGTTTTTATAAACCTTATTTATCGGCCTTTCAGAGTTCTTACTGCGATTCAAAATAGGTGGGGTGGGGCAAGGCGTGTGGTGTTTTAAAAATTTTTTTAAGTTTAATCAAAAGAACCTCCCTTTCTAAAATCGTGCTATCAAACCTTTTGTTGGTCGGTGACATGTATTAAACAATTTAGAAAAGATATGAGATGAATTGTCAGCATAAGTCTTAAAATGTTTGCTCAAACGTGTTCATTTTTGGGTAAGTCGAATGAAAATTGCAACGCCATTAACGTATTAACCATTTGTGCTTAATTTAAAAAAATGAACATTGAGCTGAAAAAAAATTGACTTTTATCATTACAACTGTCGTTTGGATTTCCCAAGCACAAAGGCTTATTCTGCATTGAATCAGGATGTCTCAGTTAATGATCCCGTGGAACATTAGGGTAATGTAGCATTAAGTCCTTTCTAAATCTTATAGGTCCGACGAAACCATACATTAGTAAATCTTTTAGTCATGGTATTTATTAGCGTATTAAATTTACAAGTCCCTGAGGTTAAGTGAAAGAGTCCAAAGCCAATTTGATTAAAGGAATTAACTAAATCAATGAAATTGCACCAATGCCTGGGGTCAACGTATTTAAATTCAGCGAAAATTAGTTTATTTTTAGCAAATAAGTGTTGCCAAAAAACTATACGTAGATGCAAAATTTCCTCATTTTAATAGAACATTCTAGGCAGTTCTGAGCATTTGCTAATCACGAGCGAACCGCGTGTCGTACATTTGCCATTAGATTGATTTAAGCTAAATACATTAACAAAAAGACCTGTTGCCCAAAATGAAGAAAAGAATTTCTGTTTCAAGTGTAACACAACACTTTGAGAATATCTGACATCATGGAAAATGTTGTCATAATGCCTCGATCGAATCTCAGGCCGCAAAGTCATATCTCGATAACGCAATTTAAATTTGAGAAAAAGGTTTTTTTAAAAACAAGTTTTTTAGTATAATATACGATGCTCTAATTTGCAGCAGCCTCTTACACAAAGCAGATTAAAAGGAGGTATAGGTATCGACGATGCGATAGATGATGTCGATAATGCTGGCTCCTTAAAGATGCCGCTTGAGCTGTGGCGCCATTAGACAAAAAATTCCGTAGGGATCTGGGTTCTCTTCGGACTTTATCGCACTTTTAGTATGTATGTTAACACATTCGTTGCGTATGATACTCTTGTATTTCACTTTACAACCCGGATTGTGTATGCTTGTTACTAATTTGACGCTGCCCTTGTTTCCACAACCTCCAATGTAGTATCATTTTTATTACGTCCATCCCTACCTAAATTCCCGTTTAGCTGCCTATTTTATGGCTGTCTGATAGGTTTATGGTTGTTACACATATCCGGATGTCTCTACTAGTTACAGATAATGCATTTGGTTTTGTGAAGCAGCTCATTCTTTGAATGCCGTCTTTTAATTTTTATTAAAATGCCACGAATTATCACGTTTCCATTCAGTTCAATCATCTTTTGTGGCAAATTTTCCTGGTGTCCATCTTTATTTAGTCTTCTGGCAGGTGGGTATATCGACTAGAGTTTAACTGTTCCTGAGTCTTTTTACCTAAAGCTTGCTCACCGCGAAACTCGAATGCCCATTCCAATTACCAATGTACATAGTAGGAGCATGCCCATTGAATGTGTATGGTATATCTATTGACGGTCGGAAATTGGCGATATTTCCTTGAAACAGTTGTAGAAGCACTAGAAGTGTTTGCTTTTCGCTTTTTGCAAGATTCCGTGCTTGATTTCGCATCAATTCAAACGTGTTTTTCTATTCGTTTTTCTTTCATCTGGTCGTAATGGGAATATAATACATCGGGATTTCCTGTGAAGAAACATTCCCCACAAACTGCCGCTTTGTATTTGCTCTGTCCTGAACATTATATTCCTATTTTTTGACTTATCAAACACTGTTTTTTGCTGTCACGAAGCTAATTTACGTCAAGGGCCGAAACATCTATCTTCTACTACCATGGTTGGCAACATGGGAGTACTCTGGATTTATATTGTATCTTGTAGTGTCTCCTTTTAGACAGCTGATGTTTTCGAAAAACTTGATCCACGTGGTTTAGCATACCTCCGCCACCAACATCATTTTCGTCGGAAATGTCGATTAGTTCTGAAATCACGAATTTGGACGAGTTGCGGGATCCCTCGGGCATCTTCGCTTTGATCGAGGTGGTCGGAAAGGGTACCTATGGCAACGTCTACAAAGGACGACACATGCGAACCGGGCAGCTGGCTGCTATCAAGGTCATGCCAATCACGGAAGAGGATGAAGTGGAAATTCTCCTTGAAATTAACACTCTTCGTAGGGTACGTAGTTAATTCTGAAGCTGATGAAATCAAGACGCCTCTGGGATGGCTTTAACAGTTCTAACTGGTCCAATTAATTTCAGCCTTTCATTTGCGTCGTCTGTTCCTCTGGGCTCACCGTCGTGTCGGTTGTTCCCTACCTTGACCATAGTAATGCCGGCAAATTATTAATTTTTCTGGACCGCAATGATCCTTCGAGAACAAAGAAAATACTGCCATGTCAAAATTGTATTGTAGACCGATCGATTTGGCGTTTCAAGGTTCCCCATTTTCACGTCATTACTGGCCGGCGACATTAAGGCATTCTCGAGTGTTGGAGGGTGTTTCTGGTTATTTTTCGAAGCGCAAATTTGTCTATTAAAGGTTTAGCAAATTGCATCGATCGGATGTCATGAAAGGGTCAATAACATTAACGACGGATTCCTTTCAGGTTACCGAGGGACATTTGCACGCACGCCCACACTCCACTGCAATTTATCATTAGCGTTTTTTGGTGGTGTTAATGTTGCTGATTTCGAAAAATTTTCCCCGGTGATTGTGTCCATACTCCTGTACGCCTCTGGGTCTTAACTGTCTTATGACACGTTACGTAGGATTCGTACACTGGGTTTGTAGATCACGCATGCAGTAGTTTTCTTTTGTTTTTACTTTTCCCCCGGGTTATCATTTTGTCCGAGCGATCGAAGGAAGGCGCGTCGTGGATCTCCAACCATTTCGGGTATTGGGGTGTCATTTTGGTGTAGACTAGGTGGGGGGCTTTCCCTCCTGATGCTCGTTTCACGCCTCACTCCGCCCTTGGACGCGTTTCCATGGTTTCTTTCCGCGGACTGCGCATACCAGACAAGTGTCACTTAGTAGTACCGTCTAGTGTCACGACCAATAAGCGCTAAATTACGGCCGAAGTAAACCGGACAGTAACCGTGCCCAACATCGGTGGCTTTAATCCAGGTCAAGTCCTCCTCTCTACTGGCAATCTCTCCAAATTCGTGCACTTCGTAAACCTCAAAAGTGCTTTGGTTTTCAAGACGGGGATTCAGTTAGATGAAGCAATGTTCGACACCTAATGAATCCCCGAACCCCTTGTCTGTTTAGCTCTCAAATCATCGAAACATCGCCACGTACTACGGGGCCTTCATTAAAAAGGCAACGCCGAATGATCACTTATGGGTAAGTTCCTCATTCTTACGATGATTTAAATTAGCATGTTCTTTGCCCCCCTCGTGTTTGTCTTCGTTCGTTAAAACACGCATTACTTGATTGGTGTTGATGTTCTTTTCCCTTTTTTTGACAGCTTGTTATGGAATACTGCGGTGCCGGTTCGGTGACAGACCTCGTCAAAAGTGAGTTTGGCCATTTTTACGCAGTGCGTCACTCCGCGTTGTCATTGTCCACGTCTCATGAACATCGGCTGGCTGCTCCTGTGGGTTGTCCGATTTCGGCGGCCGCCTTCACGCACCTGCGCGCCCAGTGTAATTAGCGCTAGCTACTAATTTGGGCAGGTTTGTGCAGGCCGGCCACGCGCGCCCACTCACTCCCATGTCCTGCTGCTGTTTGTCGTTTGTTCATCCTCGCAAATGCATCTAACTCTCCAGTGCCTGTGGCGTTTGGGCCTTAGCCAAAAGTGCTTTCGATAGAACAACCTTAGGTGTCACGGGACGGGTGTTTGGGGTGACAGTAATTGGAACCAAATGCGTCATCTATGACTGGGTGTCTCACGGGCTTTTCGCACACCGATGGCGTTTAGGCTCCACCTCTTCTCACGGTTACGTGTAAGTGCTTCCACTTAAAATCACCTAAGTCAGGCATCACACCACACACAATTCCATTTCGCCTTCACTCCTGTTAATTAAAAATGCGTGAATTCTTCGGTGTTGCGCTTCGCGACAATTGAACTCACTGATTGTACTGCTAAGTGTGTGTGTGCGTGTGTTGTGTCATGGGCGTCTGGTCTTGGTAACAAGCTGTGGTTGTAGTCGTTGCCTGCCAATCCGTACGATTCCTCAAGTCCTAGAGCACTGTTCTTCCATGTAGAACGCCACCTAGGCAGTGACTATAAGTTGTGCTGGCGCGAGACGTGTTTAACTGCTATCCGATGCCTCTTTAGGTACCCGTGGCCAGTCGTTGAAGGAGGACTGGATCGCGTACATCTGCCGCGAGATTCTTCGGGTACGTTCCAGTCTATCTAAAACTTTGCGGTCACTCGATTCAGTGTGTTCCGTTACCCTTGGATACACTCATCAATCTGCTGCTCTCCTTGCAGTCTCAAGTGTCCCCTTGAGGCACCCAGTTCCTGCAAACTTGGTCCGTCTGTTCCAGAGTTCTTTCACACTTGTCCTGCGTCACAATTCTGGCCTTCTTATTGGTCGGAACTCCACCGAACAGGATCTTGTAATTCACCCGATCAACAGTGTGTGTGTGTGTGGTTTTTCGGCTACTGCGGGAGGCGAACGCACGTCTCGGTGTGTCCACATGTAACGAGCGGGGACCTAACTAGGTAGATAACTGTTAGCCCGTCCCTCTTAGATAGCCTCTCCATCATAGTTAGCTACCAGGCACACGATAGAAGAATAACTGGAAGAACCGGATGTATTCCATACTACCGCATACAAACTCAGAGGGCTAGAGCTTTGGGAGAGTTAGAGCGGGTGGAAAGGGGTGGCCGTTACCCTCAGACTCACGGGCGTGCCTTGAGGAAGGCGAGAGTGCGGGAGGGAAGAGGAGGACAAAGAACAGGCCAGACCGGCGTGCGTAAGTCGAATGGCGCGCGTTACACACACACACACACCGACCAATCAGCCGCCTTCATTGGCTTACTCAAACACCCGCCTCCGTCTTCAATGATTTGCGTAGAACCGTGGCGTGTTGTTCTCGCGCCGTGATTAAAGTCAACTTGCGAATTTCAGGTGTCGTCCCAGGCTGTGAATTGCGATCCTCTTGTTGAGTTTCCGGTGGTCTAGCGCGCGCTCGGCGCTGACCTGCCAATCTATGGTGCATCGCATGTGCACAAACAATGGTGCCAGGCCAACGCCCCTTCCCCGCGTCCGTGTTCCTCGCCTGTGCCCTCCTGTCGGCCACCGCGTCGCCCGCTCGTCCGTCCGCCATCGATTGGCGGCGGCGGCGGCGGCGGAGGCGTCATCAGCTGTTTCACGCGTCATCCGCGCGCGCGTGTGTGTCCACATGCACCACACCACCGCGCTTGGGGCTTATTCATATGCGCCCATGGCTGGCGGCCGCGCGCAGACAGTGGGTGACAGCACCGTGGCGGGTGTCGCTCCGTTGTGCTCTCTCATTAACGCTTACGTTTGACGACCGACCGACACCCCTCTCTCCCGAGTCTCACCTTTCTGGTTCAAAGAGGCGGGGGCAAACAACTTGTTTCCGATTGGGACACCGGCCAAACGAGGCTGTGAGTTCGCTATCAACTACAGCACCAGTCGGACAACCGGACGTACGAGGTGTTGACGTGAACAGCAAATCAGAAAGCTCTCCAACCCCCGTCTGGTAACGTCTCGTGTGAAGCGGCACCAGCGAAGCAGTTGCAATGTAAATTGACAAGTATTTTCGGGGAAATGCGTAGGGCTTCGGCTCCTGATTTTCTGCCTCCTGCATCCCTGTGTAGCCCATGATACTGTGGACCACCAAAATCTCTCCAATTATTGACTTATCGGCCGGAGGAAGAGGTGGTGGTCGGGCTACAGTGCGTTTGAGTAAACCAGGGGACAGGGGCTGACACACAGAGGCTGTGAGGCTCTACTGCGTCGTACCATCTGTTCACTAGCCTGCACACACACACACGAGTGTGCGCGTGTGTCCGCGTTTAGTTTTTACCGGTTTGGTTGGCGCTTGACCAGAGCGACATTATTACCGCCCGGCCTTGTCCACTTCCAGTTTGAACGCGCAGTTCGCCTTACCGGACGTGTTCCTATAATATAAACCATCTTTTTTGTCGTGGCTGCCTGTTTACCTAGAGGGCTTCGCTAGCACCTCTCCCTCCCCTCTCTGTGCGCGGTTATGCGGACGTAACTGTGAGGGCAAGAAAATCTCCTCCTTATCCGAGGCTCCCTTTTGAAATGTCCGACCAAAAACCTTCAACCGAATCAGCAGATGAATTGTACTTCAATTGAATCCAAACCTGGTTGCTGATATGTCTCTCTTGTTTCCCGTTACCTGTCAAGTTTGATCCGTTATTTGTGGATTTGATTCGGCAACCTTCGGTGGTTACTCCGTCCTCTTTTCTGAGCTGCTTGCTTCTGTCCAATCGGAAGTGTCGTATCGATCGTCATGACGCACCTTCCCCATCTCCCTCTCTCCACCCAGCCTGCTCCACGTAGCGTCTTCCCTTTCTGTTGCAGGGTCTCTCCCACCTCCACGCCAACCGCGTAATCCACAGGGACATCAAGGGTCAAAACGTCCTTCTGACCGACAACGCCGACGTCAAACTGGGTATGTTGGCGCGTGACCCCTTTTGCGCCACCACTTGTCTAGCCCTCTGCCCGCTTGGTGTCCCCTAACTAGGCCAACATTTATTTACATGCAAACTGCGTGCTCTACCTATTTAGTCATCAGGGTCGTGTAGTCGTCGTCGTCGTCGTGCGACTTATTGACCCTTAACAGACGTCTGCTTGGTTGACGGAATTGGCGTCAACTAGCATGAAGATTCTCTTGCAAATTTGGTCAGGCGGCGCAGTTGTTGTTGTTGTTGCGAGCCCCGTTCTTGGTTTTTTTTATAGTGGACTTTGGTGTGAGCGCGCAACTGGACCGAACAATCGGCAAGCGAAACACCTTCATCGGAACACCTTATTGGTATGCTTTCTAGGCCACCTGACTTGTTCTTTGTGCTTTTTTGTCGATTAATGGCGACACAGCCGTTTCACCCTGCGTCTAAAGTCGTGTCCTGAGTTTTGCCGCGCTCTCGTGCTATCTACCTCTTAAGGCGTTACATGCCTGTCTGAGTCATTAGTCGCACACCAACTTGTGTGTGTGCGCGCGCGCGCCACACGCACCAATTTGGTGCCTTAGCGGCACGTTCTTGTGTCATTGTGTCGGCGTTAATCTTAAAACGAGAGAAAGAGGCTACGCAGTAATTGCCGTCTCTTGCTCTCCTGACCCTCGTCTTGCGCCGTTTTCACAGGATGGCTCCGGAGGTGATAAACTGCGAGCAGGACGCCAACTGCACGTACGACGCGCGCTCCGACATCTGGTCGCTGGGCATCACGGCCCTGGAGATGGCCGAGGGTCGTCCGCCGCTCTGCGAGATGCACCCCATGCGCGCCCTCTTCCTCATCATGCGGAACCAGCCACCGCGTCTGAAGACGGGCATCGGGGCGCGCCAGTGGTCGCCACGCTTCCACGACTTCATCTTCAAGAGCCTCGCCAAGGACTTCCGCAAACGACCCACCACCACCGACCTCCTGAAGCACGAATTCGTCGCCAATTTGCCCAATGAGCGTCAGGTCAGAATCCACCTGAAGGACTACATCGATCGGCACAAACGAACGCGGCGAAGTGAGTTGCGTGGTCTGGTTTTCGTTACGCCTGTGCGCTCGCTTCTAGCGGGGCTTTACGGTGCACAAACTGGCCAAAGAGGTACACTGTGCGGTTGTGTTCATCAGCCTACGCTAGTGTTTGGGTATTTGTGTGTTTATTGTGCGTGTGTGTGTGTGTGTGTGTGTGTGTGTGTGAAGTTCACTCTCCATTTCTTGCTCTCGCAGCCACACACCGCTGACAAGTTCGATCGTATGGACAGGTGCGCATTTTTCAAGCGCCACCGTCGCACTAGGTGGCTTTGCTGATGGCGTGTGTTGGGGGGGGGTCGGTTGGGGGAGACTGTTTATTTCCACTTCAAAAGAAAAAAACATGCAATTTGGCGTGTGTGTCGAGTGTTGCCGTCGAACGCGCGCGCACACACACGCACACGCTCCGTTAAACGACCCGCGCAGCACGTCACTACCACGAAGTCGGTGCCTAGTTTGGCCGGTCAAAGACCACTGCAATGTCCACATTCTCCACCTACTTTGAACAACCTCTATCTAGTGGATTCTCGTCTATTTGAGGCGTGTTGGCGCGTCTGTGTACGTCATTGGCGCCGAAGTCTATGAGTAGTCGTGCCAACTGTCCTGGTGAATTTGATTTATGCTGTGGGTCCCAGCATGCGGTCGTGAACCACGCCGGGGCCACAGAATTAACCCTGGCCCGATTACGCTCCCCTGATACCCACGATGAAGAAAATGATCGGAGAGGATGTAGACATAACCGCTTACGTCAGAGCTCAAGCGCGTCGGTGTCGTTGCGTCGTGTGTATTTATACCTCGGACGTGTGAGTCATACATGCGCTAACATCGAGACCTAGGTGTGAGGACAATCCAAGGTAAATATCCGTGTGAATGAGGGGGGGGGGGTTGAGGATCCGCGCGGCTGGCGACATGCTGCAAAAAGGGGAACCCTGTGTCGGAGGATGGGGCGACCGGATTAAGGGGTGTGAATAAACACGATTCGCGGTAGAGCCACCCTATAAACACGTTCTCATCACGGCCTCAGCCCCCAGATGTGCTTGCGCCAATCTAGATGCTCGTTTTTAGCCAGTGGTATAAGTGGCGCTTCAGATACGCGTGATTTTGTTGATTGCACCACAGACTTGTTTAGTCTGGTCTGTAGTGCACAAATGTAGTCACTGCTTAAATCGACCCCTTCCCGTAATCTTGCTCTTCGCCATCCTTCGTTCAGATACGCTCTTCCTTTTTGGTAAAGTTTTTGTTCAAAAAAACCGCGGATTCTGTTCACTTTCACTCATTTTTAGCAGTTGACGAGAAAGACAAGGTTTACGAGTACGAGGGTAGCGACGCGGAGGAGGAAGAGGAGGCGGTGGTGGCGGGGGCGGGTGACGTAGACTCGGCGCCGCCACCTCCCAACCCCAAAGACGACGCTCGCGGCTTCCCTCAGCCCCCACCCTACAGCCAACAGCAGCAGCAGCAGCACAAAGGCCTGCTCCAGCACCAACAGCCTCCACGCGGCCAACGGCCCGTTGCCATGGCTCCGCGTGGGCACCAGCCCTCCTACCTGGCCGCGCACCACCGTAGCGCCGCACCGCCGCCGCAGCAGCACATGATGCAGTTGAGGTCAGGCATGTACAGGCCTGCGCCCGCCGTGCAACTCCAACAGCGCAACTCACAGGTCTTCAACAACGGTGACGGTGCATCCCGCCACTCGGTGATCGAGGCCCCCGGCGAGCCAAGCACGGCCGTGGCCGCGGAGGAGCACACGCTGCGGCAGAAATTCGCCCGGTTCCAGGTCAGTTTGCGCCTTTTTGGTAGTGTGAAGAATGCAGACGCCGTCAAGCCTGTTCTAGTCGGTGAGCGTGGAAATGATCGGCAGCCCCGTCACCGATAATCGTTATTCCCTCGTAGGAACGCGAGCGTCATCCCGGTTCAGGGGCTGTTCACCAGGCTAACGTGCCTCCGCAGAACCACCACTACCCCCAGCAACAGCAGCACGCCTCCTTCCAGCAGCAGCAACAACAACAACCCTTCTCTCGGGGTCCGAAGCTCGGCGTGACGGCCACCACCGCCAATGCCAAACCCGGTGAGGAGAAGGCAGACGATTTGCCCCACCACTTCCCCATGCAGCAGCAGCAGCACCGATCAGCGAAACAATTCTTCGTTGGAAACGGCGGAGGCGGCGGTGGCGTTGGCTCGAAGCAGTCCCACGCAGTCGATGTGCCATCTTCTCGACATCAGAACATTGTGACGCCCAAATTCCCCCCAGCCAGAGCCTCCGACGCGACGAGGGTGTGTTGGCGCATTCCTGTGACTTAATTTGTACATATTTTTCAGCAAATTTATTTAAAGTAGAAGAAAGTCAGACGCAGCATTCCGCATTCACCGTATACCGTCCAGTTTCCAGGATTTCGTAATAACGCACACCCTTCATGTCCCACCAAATACACACCAAGCGGACGTTCCGTTTTGGTTCCGAGGTACTAAATCGCCCAGGATCTGTTATGTTTAGGATTCTGGTATGAGTTGCCACCGTAACGTCTGTTATTCTGAGAGGTTATGTAACTCACGGGGACTTGTCATTCGGTGTTTTGAAGCCTTGCGTTTGATCCATTCAGAACCACAAAAGACCGCGAAAATATTTCTATTTTGAGTACAATTTTAAGCTCCAAGAAAAATTTGCTCAATTATTGCAGGTGGGCGGCGTTGTGCTGGATGTGCGACGTCCAAGCCCGCTGGATTTGTCCGGAGACCAGCAGCAGCAGCACTCGCGGGCTCCCCATGCCCACTCCTCGTCTCCCCTCGCCAAACAGCCGCAGCCCGCCGTCTCCCTCCATCAGCACCAGCACCACCTCCCGCCGCCTGCCTACTTGTCGCGCAATAGCAGCGCAGGCAGCAACAATGGCACGCCCACGCGTCAACCACCGGTTGTACGATCCCAACCCACACTCTGTAAGCCTCTACACCACCTTCTCAAGCTTTGTAGCTCTTGCGTAATCTGTGAAGTCTCGTGTAGCAACCTTTTTGTACCCATACCTACTCTTTGTGGTTTTCTGACGAGATGTCGATGGACTTTACCAGGTGCTTGACTGATTCCGTGGAAGGACCCAGTGAAACGGACCGTGTGCTAAGAATTCCAGCAAACGGTTCACCAGGAATAACGTGTCTAGCTCGAATTGTTGCATTCACTGATTTCACCCAAGACGGTTACCTGTAGCCCCCCCCTGTCTGTCGACCTTTTCAGCTGAGGATGCTCCTCCGACTCCCATCTCCACGCCGAGTGTGAGCCAGCATCGATTTGTGCGTCAACCCATCCTGGGACTGTCGCGCAACGGCCGCGCAACCCCCCCACCTGCCCAGCCGAAACAACCACTACCACCACCACCCGTCTCCTCCAACGCTCAAGCGAGCAGCGGCAAACCCGAGGTTGGTTTTTTTCGCCTTTCCCCACTCGTGCACCTCCAATTTACACGCCAATGCGCCCCGCCTAGCTGGTGTCGATCGCTTTGGATTAATCGACAACCACGTGTTTGCCTTTCTGATCCGATGACATTCGTAAAATCTCGAAATTCATGCTATTTAGTGTCATAGCATCGTAGACAGGTACACTGGAGGCGTCAGTTATAGCCGTACTCCGTGCATATTTAGCTTAGATTCGTAGTGTAAATATGAGGTACCCTCAACACCGTAGCTACTCGTTGCACGCATCTATGGGTGCACTTCTCATCCCTAATCAGCTGTTTCAGCACCTCTTAGCACTCCTTCGGCCCCTCGATAACCCTTCTCATTCCCCTAACTCGCATCCTTCTCCACCACATATTGATTGCCTTTCCTCCCTCCCTACTTACACGATGTTTTTTATTAATCACTGCACTCATTTAGAGACGGATTTATGTAGAGGTGAGATTTAGCACTCCTGTTCCCCCCTATTGCCAATTTTGCACAAGCTTGCTTGTTTTGAAGCCCTTCTTTCTTCTTCATCTTCTCCTCTCACTCCTCCTCTGAATAATGACCGAAGGTTGCCGAGCTTGCGTTTAAACTTAATCAAGGTTTCGATTGGAATGTCTGCGAACTGCCGTTTGCTTTGCTCGTTGCCTTTGTCCAATCAGAGAAGGCTTTATTTGCAATTTCTAACTTTCTAACCTCTAATTCCTTCGAAACCTCCCCCCGCCCCGCCCCGTCCCAACTTGGCTGTGGCATTGTTTATGTACGCCTCAGACGCCTAGCAGCCTCCTGCCCCAGCCCATGGGCCTCCTAAACCTCCTCAGACAGGCCCGTCTTAACCCCACGGCGAACGGTCTCATTGGCTTAAGACAGAGCCAAAAAATGCTCCGTGTTCGCACCACCCCCATCGCCCCTGCTACCGCCACCACCGCTACCACCGCGGCAACCACCTGCACTGGTTGGTTCGGTTCTTCGGCCAAGTCCGAAGAGGCGAAAGAAGGAAGGGAGGAGGAGGAGGAGAGGAGGGTAAGAAGTCACTCTCCCACCTCCTCCTCCGCTTCCGAAGGTGACGTAGCCATGGCTGACGATCGTAGGAGCGAGTCCGCGTACATTTTGCGCCCACCGCCTGGCCTGCGACCCAAACGCCGATTGGCGAAGCCGCGGCCGGACGAAATCATCCTGGTGGACGATGAGCCAGATCCGGCCGCCGCCACCAGCCCCGTCGTCCAATCTCACGTCTCCGAGGTGCTGAGGCTCCAAGCCGTAGGTCGCGCCGTCACACCGTCTCGTGTTGGTGTCTGTGTTGTCGGAAGTTAATCTGTCGTCGAATGCGCTTTGCCAGTGGGACGTATCGTCCATGGCTAGAATTATCATCAGTCACTATCACTTGCACGTTAGATTCTGTTCCCTCATTACCCTAAGCGCGAAACTGGGGATGTACTCCGGTCAGCCCGCAGCCGCTGATTCAGTTAGCGAAACAATTCTGCTCCTCCAACCGATTCCACCACCTCCCCTCTCTCCTGTGTGTTCGCTTTGTGTGTTTTGGTGCGCGATCGTATTCATCGCTGTTGTTGTCGTTGTTGTTGTTGTGTCGCTGTTGTTTTTGCTTATCTTTCCTTGTAAATGCACGCCCTCAAATGCCTTCCCGCCCCCTTTTTTTCTCAAACTTGAACCACACTTAGACCTCACGCTGTTTCGACTCGTCTTGTAGCTCACACTTTACTGGCTGTGCTTAGTCCTAAGAGTTCCACCGCCTGCCTCAGCTCCAGCAAGTAAGGTCTAGTGGAAGTAGGCACGAGTCGAATCTGCGTGTGTTCTACAGGTCGGTTCAAGTTGTGCAGCGAGCGCGCACTCATTCGCCTTCTTTCTGCCGCAAACGCTAGGAACTTGATCGTCTGGCGGCGCAGCTAACCGATATGGGAGCAAAGACTCCTCTGCCCGCGAAGGCTAGCAACGGCAAAACCGCGGCTGCCGTCTCTCCCTCCCCCTCGCCTCCCTCCTCTCCTTCATCGACCTCCTCCTCCTCCTCTCCCCACGGTTCTATCTCCGACGACTCTCCAGAGCGTCGTCGTGGAGGCGCCTTCCGTGGCGATGACGACAATCGACGACAAACGGTCGTCGAAAAGACTCCAGAGGACGACGCCGATGCTGAAGCTGCGGTGGTTGCCGAAGACGATGATGACGTCCAGCCGAAGGACCCCGACGCCGAAGACGAGGATGCTGACGACGACGACGGTGAAGTCGAGGTGGTGGAGGAGGAGGGTGAACAGGGTGCATTGGACGAGGAAGAGACAGAGCATGTGAGATCCACCTTGTCGATTCTGCGACCCAAGAGGTCGGAGGATGAAGCTAGCGACGCACCGAAATCTGAGAATTGCACTGGGGAAAAACTTTTGTAAGCCTCAATTCTACTCTCTTTTTTTCGATTCATTATCAATATAATAAGTAGGGCATTTGTTCTGCCAAAAAGTGCCTATTTTTTTACCCTACTTGCTCGATAATACCAGTTCTGTAGTTATCAGGAGCTATCGTTTGCTATTATCGATCGATTTCCATGATGATAGACCATATCAGTGGTAACGAGCGATTGGTTATTTCACCACCATCCAAACTGACAAGAATCTTTCTCTCCTCCGTCTCCTACCTCCCCTAATGTTTGTGCTAACTGTTGTGTGTGTGTGTGTGCGTCTTGTCTAACCAATCAACAACGTAGACGTCGAGCTGAGGCTCCCCCGGTCCCCCACCGGGACGAGTCGGCCTCACCACCCCCCCTGCCACCCAGGTGTGTGCCCCCCCTTACCTCCACTCCGGGACCGCTTGCTTGCTTCCCACTCCTCACGACCTGTGTCAACGGTCTCCAGTTGCAATTGGTTAGTTGTTATCCCCCGGAACTACTCATGGACGTGGCTCCACGACGTGAACGCCCCGTTGAGGCGAGGAAGAGCGACTCTAGGCGTTACTCCGCCCCTCCCGGCTACCTGGTGCCCATGTTGTGAGTGCTCCAGCGCACTCAACTGATCGAATATCGGTCGCTGCGTCCACTAACCCCCTAACAACCGCGCTCCTCGTCTTTACATTCAGTGTAGTCGGTTTTGCAGTGCTTTGAGTCTAACCCCGCAGTCTTCTTACCTCCTTAAAAAGTAGACTTCACTCTTAGTTTTCTGTCTGCCATGGAAGCGTAATCCACTGTCTTAGAGATAGGTCAGTCCTGTTTTAGAGGTCGTTGGTTTGAGGATTTTTGCTCCGGTGCACTTCGCTTGTCCGCCACTGTGTTATTGGTTCGATGGCATAACTTTTTAACAGCCAGCCTAAATGAGTGATTTGATTTAGTCATTCGGCACGTTTAATTTTCCATAAGCTGAAATAAATTCCCCACTTCGGGCGGAATGTAGTCAACAATATGTGTCTGTTGTAGTCTCCTGGTTGAGTCGTGAACCCTTCTAATACGTCATCTTCCTTGCTGGATTTCCAATCGATTGAGTTCCTGCTCGTCTCACTCATTTCGCCCTCACAACTCGCTTCCGCCAATTAACACCTCCCTCAGTATTGATTTTGAAAAAAATCCACCTCCCCAAACTAAACTAAGCATTCCATCAGCTGTTGTCGAAGTCCGTTGTCAATTTTAGTTGCTTGGTGGATCACGTGTGCTTTTCATCAGGCTTAAGAGCTCTCGCCTCACGCATGCATCTCTAAAACCCGCCGTAGCTGGTGTTGTGTCCTGTCGTGTAACCACTCAACCCCCCCTCCACCCCGCCCACCCCTTGTGTAGCGCCTTTATGGTGTTCCTCATTCCTACCCCCCTCTCTTCCCATGTAGACCCTCTGACGAGTTCACGAAGGAGACGCTTAGCAGCCTCAATTCGATCCTCGAGTCCTCCGCGGCACCCTCCAACCAATCACCTTCGCGGAACCACGCGGTGAGCAAGTCAGCTGTTGACATTTCTGGCTGTTAGATAGGATGGATGCGGGTGTGTATGTTAACTGCTGTTGCATTTGCGAATCTCGCCTTCGAAGCCCGCGTTCTGACAGGATGTCAAAACTGTGCTTTAGTAACTACGCAGTTATTGATCGGGGAGGTGAAGTGGACAGGGTCACAGAACGACTTTACGGAATCAACACGGCTACATGCAGAGCAAAATATGCACCCAAATTGGCGTATCCGTTGAAAAATGCCGAAACTTTTTGTCAAACTCCTGCCGCATATCCACTGCCAAGTCGATTAGTGTTATCACACCGAGCGAACCACTGTGTGTGTGTGTGTGTGTGATTGCCTGTGATTAATAGCGCATTACCGGGCTCTGTTGCTTGCGCCAGTGACTCATGCGGGTGACTGTGCGCGCGTGGGCGGATCCCTTGCCCGAAATACCAAGACGGACTTCGCCTCGACTCCTACTAGGCGCCTGTAGTCTCTTACCTCGTATTCGATGTCAGTTTTGCGTGCGTCGCTTTTTAGGCTGCGTCGGAGGGCGTGGAGACGATCCACCGACGTCCACACCCCGACCCTCTTCAGCATCAGCTCCCCCAACAGCCCCAACGCCCCAGCAGCATGGTCTACACCGGGGGCGGCGGTGGCGGAGGCAAGATGTGGTCCAATGCTGAAGGTATGTCATCGTTTGCGGTCTTCGTCAGCATTTGCAACGAATTCGGCGTCCACCACTGCCCTCGTATTGCGTATTTTCTTGATTTTCTAGAGAGGGCGACACTGTTGATGCTTTGGTCTCTCAGAACGCTTCTTTTGCTAGAATGACGAACGCTTTTCAAGTGTTTTTTTTTGCCACGCAACCACACATTCCTATCCAATCCTCACTTTCCCATCGCTGTAAAAACAAAAGCAACACACTACCTGTAAGGCTTACTTCTTTAAAAAGTTGCTCTTCACCAAACCAAACCTCACAACTTCCTGCGTCGATGTCACGACCCCCTTGGTGGAGATCCAGATGCGTGGTAGTTGGTGTTGCTTACGAGTGATGTTCCGTAGCACGTCGGCTGAACGCGATTTCTTGTTGTTCGCTTCTGCAGACACTCCGGTGACCAACTTTGGCGCGGTGGCTCCCAGCCAACAGGCAGCTGTCGCTGTTCCGCAACATCATCGTCTCTCACAGGACGACTCGAGTCGCGGCGCCTTGGTGGCATCTCGTCGCGTCGTCGTGCCCCAATCGCCCTCCTTCTCCTCCGGGCTTCACCTCCCCTCCTCCGTGTCCGCAGCCACCGCCGACGCTTCCAACGCGGCGGCCCCCCCACCCACGGCGACGCCGTCCAGTAGACCTGCTGAACCCCATCGGGTCGGTTTATGCATCTCCGCTATGTTTAGGCTTCTAGAGTTTGTAGAACATCAACGGATAGAGAGTCGGGACGCGGCTTAACCTACCTTTGTTTTGTAGGTGGAGTCGGGCAAGGGGCCGTCACAGCTTCTGCCGACCACCGTGGAGGTGGCTGCGTCGCCGCTGCCAAACCAGCAACACGAAGACACCCCCGAGGTGCACGTCTACAAGAAGCGCTTCAGCTCGGAGATCCTCTGTGCTGCCATGTGGGGCGTAAACCTGCTCATCGGTCTAGACACCGGCCTCTCCCTCCTCGATAGGTCTGGCGAGGGAAAAGGTAAATCGTCCTGCTACGTCAAGCATCTCACCCAATCAGGTCCAATTTGGCTGCAAATAGCTGAGAACTCATCCGTCTATCACGTTGTCACTGGCGACTCGGTTCCCATGGCTTTTAAGCGCTGCTTCTCGCGTCATAAACTAGTCCAGCTATTCCTGGTGTGCTTGTCTAATGCCGACATCGCGCTAAGTATAGCTTGTCAAAAGAACAACGCTATGAAATTGATTTGGCGAGTTAAACAGGCAGCGATGTCGAAGCAGTGTTAGTTGAAAGCGTTCGCGATTCACGTCTCGTCGCCCCCTCCTCCTCCTCCTCATTTCGTCGTTCTTTGTCTCTAGTCTATTCCCTCATCAGTCGACGTAGATTCTCCCAAATGGCTGTGTTGGAGGGCCAGAACATCCTGGTGACGATTTCCGGCCGCAAGAACCGCCTCCGGGTCTACTACCTCTCGTGGCTCAAGAGCAAAATCATGAAATCCGAAGGGGTAAGACAGAGGCTGCCTCCACTCTGCCTCAATTTTCGACTGCAACCTGACGTGTGCCGCCGCCTTTTTTTTTCACTTGTAGTGCGACAAAAAGAATGGATGGGTGAATGTGGGTGAAAACCTTCATGGTGCGGTGACCTTCAAAATCGGTGAGTCCCCCCCCCCCCACACCGTGGAGTTTGGCGCGAAACCGACATCCCCCCTAACTTGTTGCCTTTTTGTTTTAGTAAAACACGAGAACATCAAGTTTCTGGTGATTGCCCTACGCGACTCAGTAGAGATCTACGCGTGGGCTCCCCGTCCCTACCACAAGTTCATGGCGTTCAAGGTAATTCTAACACACGCGATTGGCTGCTCGCAGTTCCGCCGGGTTAGCGGCCAGTTCTCTTGATGTCCGCGTTTTGTTGCAATTCTAGCATTTCTCATCCCTGCACTTCCGACCGCTTCTCGTGGACCTGACCGTGGAGGAGAACCAACGCCTCAAGGTCATCTACGGCTCAGAAGCCGGCTTCCACGCCATCGACCTCGACACCAACACCGTCTTCGATCTCTACCTGTGCCCCAAGGTGAGTTGCCACTGCTCTGGGGTATTTGACTTTGCTGCAACTAGCGTTGGCCAATAAAACTGCGGCAAATTGTCCGCCACCACACACGTCGGACGGTGGCACTGCACGCCGTGTGTTTCCTTGTTTGTTGTTGTTGGCTTTTTGTAGCCCAACCGCGCAACCATCACCCCTCATTGTATAGTTGTGCTGCCAAACACCGACGGACTGCAGCTGCTGCTTTGCTACGACAGTAAGTCAGCCTCCTCCATCTCCTTTCGCTCGTTTTGCACTTATATTTGTTTCACTTTGCTGCTGCTGATGCTCCTCCCCAAGCGTGTGATTTTGTCCTGTTGCTGTGCTTCCACGTTTGCACCAATTCGCGTACCCCATGTCTAGCACACGCCTCAGCCAATCCGCCACCAGGACAAAAACGGCCTCACGCAGGGAGATTTTTCTGTGTCCGCTATAGGTCGATTTGCACATGCCCTCGGTGACCTTGACCCGGCGACCTGGGTCTGGAAAGGGCAATTGTCAGTATCGATTTTGCGATGGAGAGGACACTTGAGGGAAATCAGAGCGAAAACACGAGGCGTGTAGTGACCCCCGGGCTTGTGTAATTATTCCACGCTCTCCTTATTGTGTAACTAGTCTGTCATGCTTGGAATTAACATTTTTGAAACAATTTTATCCGTTTTTAGTATTCTCAACTTAGGTACGTCAAATCAGGCACACAGCTATGAGTTAGCAGGGGTTGCCGTCTGTGTGGGTTCAGAAATCGTGGGGAAGTGTGTGTGAAACGGGCATTCATGTGAATGTGACAGCTAGAAATTGCGAATGGACGCTTTTAGGCTACGTAGACTTCCTCAGCTGACTCCAGTCGTTTGCCGTGTGGAATTTTAAGCCCTAAAGATGCGATGTGTGTGTGCCTCCGTCATTTACATCGCCATCGCACAATTGAGAGCGTCTCGTAAAATCTCTGATTCAATGACCCCTTCTTTACTGTGGCCAAAATGCGTAATTGATGCAAAGTCGCCCCAGACACTTGTTGCCTCAATTCTGGCCAATCACGTTGAGGCGAGTTGTGGCGCCAGATTCATAACCACCAATCCATCATATTTTGTCTTTCCAGCCGAGGGCGTCTACGTGGACACGAGCGGGAAGATGACAAAGAACGTGGTGATCCAGTGGGGCGAGAGCCCGACGTCCGTGGCGTACATCCCGTCGTCCGGCCAGCTCCTGGGCTGGGGCCACCGCGCGATCGAGGTGCGCTCGGCCGAGACCGGCCACCTGGACGGCGTCTTCATGCACAAACGCGAGCAGCGCTTCAAGTTCCTGTGCGAGCGCAACGACAAGGTAGGCGTCGCGTGCTTTGCTATACCACGCCGTTGCATGCGAACCGCGCTTGTGATGACCACACGCTCCTGTGTGTACCTTCTACCTACTTACAGGTGTTCTTCTCAAACACGCGCTCCGGCTCGTCCCAGGTCTCCATGATGACGTTGAGTGGTATCCACTGGTGAATGAGGGGGCGTGTGCGCGGTGCCTCTCCCCACTACCAATCGACTCCCCTCCTCCTACCAACGTCGTTCCCAGTGCTTTCCTTCCCACACACGCACGCACGCAGGTGTGTTGAGAGCTCCTACTAACCCACTCCCACCCCCCCTCTCTTCTCTCCTCCTCTGTTTTTCTTTCCTCATTTATGTAATGTGATGACGAGAAAGTCGATCTGCATTTCGATTCGGTGCCACCTTCCCCCTCCCCCCTACCTTTACCGCTGTTCCCCTTCCTAACACCCAAAAAATGCATAGGAGGTTTGTCTGTATACGTTTATGAAGACACTCTTGTAATTTATCCACGTTGATTTGAATCTGCAGTTGATTTCCTGCCGCATTGGTGGGTCTTTGAAGAGCCACGGATTCAGGCGACTTGCCTCGAATTCACGGGGCCCGCTTCTAGGAGCAAATTTGAGGACACTTTTGACTTTTTTGGGGGCCACGCAGCCTAAAAGATATCTAGGGCGCCAACTAGCGCTGATTCGCGCACAAATAAACACACCAGCCAACCAGTCTGGTGTACTTGGTAAGTACCATTCGAGGGCATCACATTGGAGAGCGTCAAATGTAGTCAAGGCCACAACTAGCGCTCGGATCGAGTATTGAGGTCAGTCAAGGAGGTTTTGTGGTTAGTTAGTGACAAGTTTGTTAGTGGACCAGATAGAACAACCCGAAGTACGGCGTGGAAGAGGTGTCGACGCCTTCCACGGCTAACCACGAGCACAATACAAGCTTGCTAAGCAGCTGCAACGATCTGGCGTACTCAACAACGGAAGTACGGCGTGGAAGAGACGGGACTAGTGTGCTGGAAGCCGCGGTTTTGTGCGCCCCGAATTTAACTAAACCTGAAGCTCTACCAGCGACTATTCGAATGTTCAAGGGAAGAATAGGACTGACGAGATGAATGGAGGGCACAGTAGTTCGTCCAGAATTTGGTAAATGTGCTCGCGAGCCAGGAACACGTAACCCGCTTCCACCCCTGTCACATGTTCATATTCAAACACGTCGAGGTCAGTCCCATAAATACAGCTACTTAAATGCAAATAGTAGCAAGGATTCCCACAAAGAAAAAGGGTTTAAGATGAGGATTCATATGTACACCAGACAGTCACACGCAAAAAATGTTACTCAGGAGGCAAGTTCTCGTGTAGTGTTGTCAGCTTTTCCTTCAAAACCCGCAGCGCCGAGAATATGATGTTCTTTGCCTTCAATGAACCGCAGGACTCGACGGTGAAGTAGAACTTGGAGGGCTGGAATAGAGGGCAACGAAAGGACCATAAATAAGATGTTGGTGAGATACCCAATGTCGTCATTCATGATTCAGTAAGTTTGACTTGTTCAATGACTCCAAGCGCTTTCGATTGTAAAAGCTTTACTACTTAAATTGTCAAGTAATCTAGGTATGGTTGTAAGCACAAATATGTTCAACTGTTAACGTGATTTAAGAGAAACAAAATTAAATTACTGAAATTGCAATGAAGTCAAGGTGTCAGCCATGACCAATAGGTGGGGTTAATTCCCGTTGTTTAGTTCGACAGTCAAATTGTTCACAAACACGGAACCAATGCGTACTTAATAAGCTACGTGCTACTAATTTCATTTCAGTAAATTTGATATTCCATATGATATGGGCACACTGATGGCTTTAGTTACGTGTATTTTCAACGGAAGCTGGCTGTTTTATCACGGTGCTGGTTATCTACGTCCACATCAGTCGAAAGTGAATCTGTCCTGAATGAGACTGGGAAGCAGTCCCTCAGGGAATGATTGGGACGTGAGACAACTTTCAGCGGTCCTCTGTTCAAAGGCACTACATTGGAGGTGTTACCTTTCCAAACGGATCGTACGGAGCCTGGAATTGATCGTCCTTCAACTCAGAATACTCCGAACGTGGCCAGTCCTCGGGCTTCTGAATAAACGTATGGCGCAGAGCATTGTCTGGGTCGTATTCGAAGCCAACACCAGCTGTGGGGCTCCACTTGGCGTGTTCCTTGCCGAATCCCTTCTTTGCAAAGGCCCGGAGCTTCAAGCGCTGACCCTTGCGCATTTTCACGATCAGAATTGACTCCTGAAATTAACGAGAGTGGTATGCATTAGAGACAGATAGACCGAAAATGCATGTACAAACACAGTCTACAAGGACTACTAACTTGTTGGCCGGCGTAGAGTGATGAGTCGTCGTTTTCGTCCCGATTAGGCACAGGTCGTACCTCGTGATTACTGGTCTGTAAGTCAGCACCGGTCACGTGACGAGGAGTGTCATCAGTGCAGCTGACATCAAGGGTCAATTCTACAGAGCACTCTTTGCAGAAATCCCGGCAGGTGCACTCACGAAAGTACGACATTTTGTCGACAACATTGTCAGACGTGAGTGGAATCAGGCCGACACGCTGTGCTATGAATTCGTCGTTCAGCATTGTGTTGTTCTCCTCCAACTGGACCCAGTCGATGGCCAGCGTCGGCACCTCGGCAATACACACACGTCTGATTGCGTTTGCAACGCTCAAGTCGGTGTCCTCAAGGGCGAATTTGAAGACCTCGTCGTTGAACGATATCACTGTGACAATGGATTGATTGGCATATGGCATTGTATATCTGAAAATTGATTTGACCCCACAGGCATTAGCGATGCGATCTCAACCACAACTAAGGCTATTTTCAATTATACTTATCATTGACATCCATAGAACCCGAGAACAAAGACCATTACGAGGTCATTTATATGGCAACAATGGAACAGCTTAAGACAGTTTACATAAAAGGCGAATCGTGACCAATAATATAGTCAAAAGATAGTAATAAAACAAATCGCATAAATGCGCCAGTCGACAATACGAGGTGATATGCACGGAAAGGTTTCTATGCGAAATTGACATGAGAGTGTTATACATGCAGCATAGAATGCCACATCGACTATGAATTTTTAAAATAAGTGTCGGCGTCGAATGTTTTAAGATGGGAAATATCCAGGGTATGTGATTAAACAAGCAGCCGTGGCACATTGCACAAGTTGGTAGTTGGTTTAAATGTCAAGTTATTCTGTTTAATAAGACGAAATAGAAAAGCTACACATGATAAGATTGTGAAAATCTTAACCAAGCAATCGGTGACAAGTGGAGATCAGGTAGAACCAGTATTGATTACTGTTTGGATTGTCATAGTTACACGTTCGAATTTAAAACAATACGAACTAGGCAAACGCAGTCACAAAAATGACTATCAACACAAGAAAAGGGCCATGTTTAAGGACACTTAGATGAATGACAAAAGAAGCGCACCAAAGTCAGACGAAGTACGTAGGTACAGATAATTCACATACGAGTTATATGATAACAATAACTCGCCAGGTAATCGACCAATAGCCTAGCTGGAACGCAAAGACAGGGAATTAGTTCGAATTTAGAAAATAAAAAAAATCAGTAATTGGGTACTTAATCGTAAGTAGAAATAGTTGTACTGCTATTTACAGTACAAAATTCTTAGTAATTTATTACTTTGGTAGTCCCTAAAAGCAAATAAAAGTACAATCCATTTCGAGTTTCAGCTAAAAATGATTGCATTTGTCGTTTTCATTTCAGGAAAAACTAGAAACGTCTAAAATAGACCATTTATTTTTTTTAGAAATTTATTAAGTTGGTTTAAAGATATCTGTTTGACTTCCATTACTCACAGTTAAACTGCTAAGTAATGATTTTGAGTAAAGTAAATAGGGTCAGTTGTATTAGGGCTGATTTAAAAAATATATACCTTTATCTTTTTTAAACCTTTGAGATATCACAATCGCTTTCGCCTAATATTTGATTGCTCCATCGAAGCATAACTAATTGGATAACAAATGGTTAAGTCTTAATCAGGTAACCGACAAATATTTAGCAGATTCTTATGATGTCAGGTATATTGTGGAAAGGATTTTGATGTACACAAAACCTGTCAGTACTTAGAAGATATTTTTGTCAATTTGACAGTACTGTCCCTGATAGACTCTTGAATGGCAAAATCAGTTATATTTAAACCAAAATGAAAAAAAATGCTGTAAGGATATAAAAGATAACAGAAATTCCAGGTAAATTTTCGTTGCTACATTTGCCGAAATTTTGCAAAATGTTAAAGTGGATTAGGTTGCTGATCCGTGATTCCTTTTAGAGTGGAATATTAATATATTTGTAGCATCATTTTGACCGTGTTGTGTATCAGTATCTGTAATCTGTTCTTCAGCTTGCTGCTCGACATTTAGGCGCAAAGAATAAATTGCCATCGTATAGAATGTGAACGCATTTGAATTTTCAAATGCATCTTGCATGACTAGTAGCATTTAGAGTATTCCTAGACGGGTTAAATGAGATCTTTCAAGTGCTCACTGTCATTGCACGGACGACGACATATGAAAGCCAAATTAGAAGCAATAAGGTAAAATTCTATTTTTCTAGATTTCGTCTTTTGATATTTACCTTTTGGGCATATTGCTTCCCCTCTTCACAAGCTTACAGAGAAGAAGCGTCGGTGGGAGTGGACGAAGCAATGCCAACAGCCGTTCTCTGAACTCAAAGGCCGTTTGGTGGATGCTCCGAATCTTGCCTTACCTAATTTCGATAATGACCAACCTCTTTTATTTTGGACACCGATGCGTCAAGTATGTTAATTGGATCAGTGCTTTCACATGTAGAACCTGGTGGTTTTGAACACCCTATTGCTTTTGGCAGCAGGTCTTTATCGAAAACCGAACGGAACTATAGTAGACTGGTGTAATGGGGTGTAGTTTAGTGTAGAGTAGACTAGTGTTGTGGTGTGGTGGGGTGCAGTGTAGTGTTGTGTAGTTAAGCGTACGAGTGTCACCTGTCATGACATTCGAACAACAAAGACCCATCCCATTAGACAAAGGTCCCTTCGAATACCTGTGGCATAGCAGCAGGCAGTTGAAGAGGCTATTGAAGAGATGCAACAGAAGAAAATCACAAAACCACGGGCATCACCCATCGTGATCATCAAGGAGTAGGATGTTTCTATAAGATTATGCGTGGACTATGGCAGGCTTCACGGTAAAAGATAGTTTCCCCATCCCGCTCTTGGATGTGACTCGGTCGACCATCTTTTCTACCTTGGACCTAAAATCGGGCTATTGGCAAGTCGAGATCAAGCCAGCTTACCGGCAGAAGTCAGCATTCGTAATCCCGTCTGGGCTCAATGAGTTCGAAACCATGCCTTTTGGCTTGGCGAACGCCCCAGCAACATTTCAAAGACTAATGAACACTGTATTGCAACGGCCAATGCCAAAAGAGTGTTTTGTATACATAGATGACGTGGTAGTTCATGCAAACGACGAGGCTTCAACACCTTATGCGTCTGTGAAATGTCCTCGAACGGCTTCCCGGGGCAGGGCTGAGACAAAACCTGTCCAAATGCTCACTCCTTAGGGACTCGGTAAAATTTTTTGGTATTAGAACAGACCCGGATAAGACGGAAAAGGTTAAAATGTGGCCGACCCCAACGAAGGCGGAGGAATTGGGTAGTTTCCTAGGATCAGTGACTTATTATCGTAGGTTTGTTAAAGATTTTGGGCATATTGCTTCCCCTCTTCACAAGCTTACAGAGAAGAAGCGTCGGTGAGAGTGGACGAAGCAATACCAACAGGCGTTCTCTGAACTCAAAGACCGTCTGGTGGATGCTCCGAATCTTACCTTTCCTAATTTCAATAAGGACCAACCCCTTTTATTTTGGACACCGACGCGTCAAGTATGGTAATTGGATCAGTGCTTTTACATGTAGAACCTGGTGGTGTTGAACACCCTATTGCTTTTGGCAGCAGGACTTTATCGAAAACCGAACGGAACTATAGTAGACTGGTGTGATGGGGTGTAGTGTGGTGTGGCCTTGTGTAGTCTAGTGTAGAGTAGACTAGTGTTGTGGTGTGGTGGGGTGCAGTGTAGTGTAGTTGAACGTAAAGTAAACTGGATTGGTGTAGTTTGGCGCAGTGTGGCGTCGTGTAGTGTTGTATGGTGCAGTGCAGTGTAGAGTGGACCGAAGTTGTGTAGTTTGGCGTGGTGTAGTGTAGGTGTGTGCAGTATAGGGTGGTATGGTGGGGCGTGGTGGAACTGGCTGTGGTGTGTTGTGGTGTCGGGTAGTGGGATGTAGTGAAGCGTAGTATGGTGGCGTATTGAGGTGTAGTGTAGTTGGGCGTGTTGGTGTTGGGTGTACCGCTGTGTGAGGTAGTGGGGAGCAGTGGGGTGGTGTGTGGCTTCGTGTAGTGTAGTATGGGGTATGGGGTGCGTTATGATGTAACGCAGTTTGGTGTAGTGGAGTGGGATGTGGCGTAATGTTGCGACAATGTCGATAATTAACTTGTTTTGAAGCAGTTTAGCCTGGCATTTATTGTGCTGATAAATGACTTATTTTCGACTGATTTCACGTTTTAAAATATTGCAGTAATTTGTGAATCTGTAAGTAAAACCGATATAAAAATTTAAACCACACAACGATCAAAAACCAATGGTTAATCTTGAATTTCAATCTAAATTTCAATTTAAGACGAGATTTACAAGTCATCAATTAATAATCGCATTCAGACTGCATAGAAGATAACTCCGAAATTGTCTGGTGTAATGTAGTGTAGTGCAATGTAGTTTAGTGTGGTGTAGAGTAGTAGGTGTAGTGTTGTGTGGACTGGTGTAGTTTAGTGTAGAGTAAACTGGTGTGGTGTTGTGTAGTGTGGTGCAGTGTTGTGTAGTGTAGAACGAAGTGGTGTAGTGTAGTTTGGTGCAGTGTAGTAAGGGTGCAGTTTGGCGTGGTGTAGTGTTTTGGGGTTTAGTGTTGTGGAACGCAGTGTAGTGTAGTGTGTAGTGATGTTGTGTAGCGGCGTGTGGTGAGGTGTGTCGTGGTATAGGGTGGAGGAGTGTGGTGCAGTTGGGTATGGTGTGGTGTAGCTTAGTGTAGAGTAGGCTGGTGTGGTACAATGCGGTGGGGTGTATCGTGGTGTGAGGTAGTGGGGTTGAGTGGAGCGGGGTGTGGCGTCGTGTAGTGTGGCATGATGCAGTGTAGTGTGGGGTAGTGGCGTGCGTTTTAATGGCATGTAGCTTGGTGGTGTGGGGTGCATTGTAGCTGAGTTTAGTGTAGAATGGTGGGGTGTGGTGAGGTCTGCTGTAGTGTTGGGCAGACTGGTGTGGCGTGATGCAGTGCAGTGTTGTTGGGGCAGTGTGGTGTAACGTAGTGGTGTGTAGGGTGGTGGGGTGCGTCATGATGTGACGAAGTTTGGTGGAGTGGAGTGGGATGTGGTGCAATGTTCGCAATTGCAGTCCAGGTGGCTTTCACTGTCCAAGTCGTCGTCGCTGAGTTGCCAATGCCTCTTCAGATGCAGTAGTCCTAATCCAGGGCAATGTCTATGGATCCAGTTTATTGGACATCGGATGAACGCCATGACAAATTAAGCTGGCATTTAAGGGTCTTTGCC